TTTCCCAAGCGGTCCCTGCCCATGGCTTTGAGAGCTGCAGTCTCCTGCCCAAGGTTCGTCATCATCTATGCCTTCGGTGTACCTGCGTCTGGAAAGCGGGGTGCGATCATGCAAGCTAGCGTTGACTACGTGGGGGTGGACGCCCTTAAAACAAAGTGACATGTATTGGTGACTCTATAGCAGCAACCCAGGTGTTGTTTACAGATGCTGCGATCACTTACCAGTTTGTGCATGGGAAGCGGCCTGGACAGCAAACTTTGAAGCACTTCATTGCGGAGGGGGGCATGAGACCGGTTCCCGGTTTTTTTGCACGGACCATTCTAAGAGCTTACAAGAGTCCTCTCATCAAGGAATGAAGAGCTCTCCCGGATGTTTGGCACCTTGTCGGACTCGATGAACACCCTGCTCAGGCGCGCGCTTTGTGCTAGAGGGCTCACTGCTTAAACATACAGGCAGTAGCTGCAGTAGATATCCGAATGCAGGTCAATATCTGGTGGGATGAACTGGGAGGGTCCCGCGGATGCCTTGAACCAGGTAGGAACAGAGCCTTGGCAAGGCATGGTAAGGAAGGGATGAGCCTTCTTCTTTGATTTATTCTCGTAGATCTCTCGCAGAAGGATTTGTGCATCTGCAGCTCACGTTGCCATCCGTGCGGGTGCTGTCCGACATTCTATGGTTGCAAAACCAAGCTACAGCATCGTTTGCGAGAACCACTCTTTTTTGGAAAGCGAAGTACTCACCGTAAGGTACAGTTTTCTCCTGTTTATTCAGAATCAGGCGTTCGTTTGTTGAGGCCATCCGGTACAATGGAATGTTTTTAGGGGTGCCCGTGCTCCACGTATCTTTTTTCCATGGCCGCATTCCTTACAAAGCAAGGTTACAAACAATTCGTTCAGCCCGGGGCCACTTCACTTCACAGGAAAACGTCAGGCCCCACGGGCCTTGTCAGCCCAAGAAAGCATGCTTCACAGGCCTACAGGAAGAGGGGTCTTGGGTTCCACACCCAAGAAGGCAGGACAGCGTTTCGACCCAAAATCCTGAGTCTTAAAACCAAGTCGAACGACTGCCCAGTGTGCCCCGCCTGTTGGGGACCTCTCGGCTGGCACCGCTCAGTGGGTCCCTCCGACGCCTGCATTGAGTGGCAAAGCAAGTGGCGTTGAGTTGGCTTCAAAAGGGTAAGTGCCGTCGAAAGCGAGGCCTGCATCTGCCATGAGCGTGCCCCCCCCCAGGCAGATGCAACCTCCGAGGCATAATCCGTCGAAAGGGCTGTATTCGCTGAATCGGTTTGTCGTGACATGATTTTGCATCATGAGTGGTAAGCTCATCCCTGTCGTATAGCAACGGTTTTAGTACTGTGTGCTATTGGTTTTATGACAGGGGGATGGGGTTGATGTGCTCACTTTTGAATTTGGAGCCAAGGAGTGGGCAGCTCTTTTTACGTTGTACGTTGCCCCGCGCCTACTTGTCGGACTCGTTCCGAGAAGACAAGACAGCCGTTACGCCTTTGTGTGCAACGAACCGCATTCTCCTGGGGCAGTGTGCACATGGCCAAGGCATTTTGCTGCTTTGCAGTTCTTAATGCCGGGACCTTGGCCGAAGCACATGCGCGGAGGACTCGAAGTCAGTAGCGGGATGATTGTTTTGGACACCTGGGACGGGAGGGCTCGTGTATCTCGTTGTAACGAATGACAACGTGCGAATCTTGAAGCAAGGTGATGACCGGCGTGCTCTTTGGCTGCAGACCATACGAAGTCAACGTTCAACATTTGTGATTCATTCATTTGGGGCTCGCTCTGTTGCTGGGCATTGCAAATCATGCAGATTTGAGCCCAACCCTCCTTGATCTTGATCCACAGTCGCAAGTAAACCCAACTTCGGAAACAATGGAACCCAAGCCTTGAACCTTCTGGGCTTTTTGGCGTTAAAATAGTTCCTTTGATGCGCGCCCCCCCAATTTCTCTTTCGTTCAGGAGCGCTGCGTTTTGCCGAGGTTCTGCCACAGCGCCATCTCCGGGGCTGCCCAGGATGAGCACCTCATGGTCCAGTCCCTCCTCCAGGAGAAGGATAAGTTCCGACGCCCGGCCGAGATCTCTGGAAAATTCCCGGGCCGAGGGACCCAAAAAGGGCCAAACGGTGCGTCGCGATGCTTGAGGCTGTGCGTAAAGCTGTTCTGTCTTGGAGTCCAGGATGTGGCGTAGTTTCGCGTATCAAACTCTGGTTCCAGGCAGCGCAGCTAAGTTAGTCTGGGCTGTGGATTTGGATTTGGTTCTCGAAGTGGAAAACAAGGGGAGGTATTTACTTCGGTCATCCACCCTGCAGCTACTCAGCTCCTCGGCATGGGAGCCATCCTGCCATTTTCGGACACGTAATTACGGGTATTTGGCCGCAGGCTTGTGTTGCGGGACTCTCCGCTGTACTCGGCGACTTTCTGCGGGATTCTCCGGGGTGGGCACTGCAAGGATAGTACTCCGGTAGAACTCTTGCGTGCTTGTTTGGGGCCGGCGGGACTCTCTGCGAGCTTCTCTGTGGGGGTGGGCGCTTCAGGGATGATTGCTCGGCGGACTTTCTGCGGGCTTCTCTGGGTGTTGGCAGTCCAGGGCTCAGGCCAGCAGACCGCGCGCACACCGCGCGAGCAGGCGAGGAGAATGGTTGGCTTACAGTTACACGAGGGTGGGGAATACATAAACAAATTGCATGCACATGAACATGTATTGTGTATCAACATTATACAGCTAGATCCGGATAATGTTGGCAAACCATGGGTTAGGCGCTGCAAGTGTATGCCGATTCACAACCCCTGGACCAAGAAGAAGAGGAAGAAGTACAAGGAGAAGAAGAAGAAGAAGAAGAAGAAGAAGAAGAAGAAGAAGAAGAAGAAGAAGAAGAAGAAGAAGAAGAAGAAGAAGAAGAAGAAGAAGAAGAAGAAGAAGAAGAAGAAGAAGAAGAAGAAGGAAGAAGAAGAAGAAGAAGAAGAAGAAGAAGAAGAAGAAGAAGAAGAAGAAGAAGAAGAAGAAGAAGAAGAAGAAGAAGAAGAAGAAGAAGAAGAAGAATAAGAAGAAGAAGAATAAGAAACGCACCTTGTAGATAGACATATGCTGAGGTTTTGCCAGGTTTAAGAAGGTCAAGAGTCAGCCAGAATGTGTGTGAGACAAGTGCACGCCGGAACCAGTATTCGGCGTCCGACTGTAGCTCAGGCCAGAAGTTCGAGCACCTCTTCAATGAGGACGGCGGGCCCCAAACCCTGATGCCTTGGACGTTTGGGAGTTTTAGGGGCTGTGGTTTTGCGGCCCAAAGGCAGGGTTTTCAGGTTTTCGCACTTACGAACTTCCGGATTTCCCTACACCGGCTCGGCTTCAGTGTATGGGGTCTTGGAAGGGCCTAAATAGCTTGAATCTCCACTGAGTAGGTGGATGATGACGGCACGGGGCGCATCACGCTCAACGAGTTCGAGCGCCACTTCAACGACGCGTCCCTGGCAGCGCTCTTCGAAGCCTTGGACCTCGGGTCCACGGATGCCTGGAGCCTCTTCCAGGAGCCCGTGAGGGTTGAGGGTTTAGGATTTAGGGTTTGGGGTTTAGGGTTTAGGGTTTGTGAGTTCCTGAAACAAAGGCTCTAAGAAGGTGGCGATTGTCATGTTGTGTTGGCAGAGTGTGAGGGATGTTTCGGGTCTAAAGCGGTTTGAAGCTTGGCGTCGGCAGTCTGCAATGTCGGAAGGCAAATCGGACACAGGTTTTGGATTTTAGAGTCATTGGAGGTGCAGCGGCGACAGTGGCGGGGCATGGCATGTGTTTTTAGTGTAACAGTTGTCAGATTCGGCACGTGGGTTAAGGGTTATCATGGACTGGCTCGCTTGGGCTTGCAGACCCTGGACGCGGATGGTGACCACATGATCGATGCAGATGAATTCCTGGACTCTTGGCAGGATTCACGTTCCTTTCGCCCACAGGAAACGTAGCAGTAGGACTCGGTCTGACCCTGAGTAAGTAGAGTCTTGTTCATGGTTGCTTGCCTCGGACTTGTGTGCCATGTGAGTTCTGAGGATAGCTGCATCCGCATGCGCGGACCCCCTCGGTCTGTGGACGTTTGTGCCATCAAGCGGCAGGCGAATAAGATTCGGAGGTGGGACCTTTCAGAGGGAGTGCGCTGGGAAGATGCAACTCGCAGCGCACCATGCCAGAGCCAGTTCAACTAGTGGTGAAAGCTTCCAAGCTACACTTCGCCAAGTGACATTTGTGGTGTGAGGCATGTGACAGACCTGTCAGATGCGCTTGACGACGTGATGCAAGTCCAGGAGGCGAGCAAGTGAACCCGAGCCAAAAGCACGAGCGGGACAGCCAAGGGATAGTGCACCAAGCCTCGCCAGTCTGGTCCTTGCTGAGGAGATGCAATTCATCCTCCAGAAGACCGTCCGACAACAAGAGGTCAAAGACATGCCGATGCTCTCTATGCAGCAGGTTTAAGCCAATTTGGAGTTTAAAGGCCCTTTGCAGCCCAAAGGTCTGAAGGCCATAGGCCCTGACAGCCTAAGTTGGAGTGGCATTGCGGTTTCCGAGCGGAAGGTTTTGTAGCTGTCCCTTTTGGCGGCAGCCTCGACCCTGGAGTCTTAGACACCGGGCTTCCAGAGGCAATGCCTTGAACGCTCAGGGCTGTACAGAAGTGTTTCCAAACCGTGTCGTCGAGTCGTTCATTCGTGTGTGTGTGTGTGTGTGTGTGTGTGCCACGGCGCAGCAGCTTTTCTTGTAAAAAACGGTGAGCAATGCTGGTCGAATACTGACGGCCCTAAGCCGCTAACCCACCGCATTTCCCGAAATCCATAAACCAGGTAAACCTTGGGAGGGTCCCCTGAGCCCTCTTCTGCAGGTGGGTTAGCCGGGGGGGCGCACCGGCGCACACAATTCCTGAGGAAAAATCGACACCTTCCCAAGTCGCATGACCACTGTTACCTTTTTTTTTAGACTTCTCACAAGATCTGTGCTGGGTGGTACCTGGGCCCATCAGAGGCGCAGCACCCAGCTTGGGCTTCTTGGTGATGGCCCCTCTGTTGCAGCAAGCCGAGTGCAGGGGTTTCGGGTCGTGAGGTGTCAGTACCCTAAACCCTAAACCGCCTAAACCCTAAACCCTAAACCCTAAACCCCAAACCCCTAAACCCTAAGCCCTGAACCTCTCGAGGTGTTCTCGGAGCGCTGCTTGCTGCAGAGGTGGCGGCTCAAGGCTCTGAAGACATGCAGACACTGCAGCTGTCGCTTTGGGCTGGCCCTTTTTTTGGGAAAACCTTAGGGAGCCTCCGGGTCTGGGGCGCGGCCTGGGGTTTTCTTTGGGCAGTTGAACCTTGAGACGTGTGCAGGTGGCCTACGATGGCTCCGGGTTCCGGGGCTGGCAGCCGTTGGGTGTCGAAGGTGCGCGAGAACATGTCCAGACATTTGTTTGAGCTTGTGTGTGTTTTTTGGGAATTATTCCCTCACCCCAAACTTGAGACTTAAACACGTTAATCCCTGGACCCTTGAAGTTTTGAGGGGAAGTCCTCTGCTGCACAGTCCCCGGCCTCGCAGTGAGCGTGGCTTACATCGCTCTTTGTTTTCTGGGCCTACGTTGGCCAGCGGAGCCTCTTTGGAAGATGTTCGTAGTCCCAGCTCATCTCTCACTCTTCTGCTCTCCTCTCTATGTCTGTGTTTTGTTGTGGCAATTCGAAGAGGATGCAGCGTTCACACATATGGACTCTACAGACTCGCATGTCAATGTTAGCCCCTCGTTGCATGTGGCGTTGTTTAAGAGGTTTCGCGAGGTTTGCTTTTGGAATTCATGTATCAGGGCCTTAGGCTCTTGATGCTCTATGTATCACATTCCTTCCACACAGCATCGGCATCACCACAGGCGCGCGGACGGTGCATCGCACACTGGCTGCTGCTTTGATGGCCTCGCATCCTTTGCACAGTGCTGCGGCGACACTTCAGAGATTGCTCTAAGGCTGATTGACATAGACAATACGATGTCGTGCCTGGGCCCGAAGCTCTAGACCCGAAACATCCTAAACGTCCGAAAGACCTCCTTGAACAAAGCAAGGCTTTCAGCATGTGCGCGCCTTTTTGTCCCAAGTGGTCATATTCCAACTTCCGACCCCAAAACGGCAGGTGGCATGCGTATTTCAACTAACCATCTTTGAGATTGAACGAGTGCTGTGGCTTTGATTTTGCACAAGTTTGGGGCATCTTCAGCCGTTTTTGCAAAATTTCCCGTCATGTCCGACAGCTCTGTGCATGTTGCTGTCGGAAATCGTGCTCCACGCCACCCCTCGGCCGCTGAGTCTGCGTCAAAGAGCTTTATGCCATTGCTTGGGGTGTATGCCGGCATACTCACGAGCCTCGCACGCCCTTGACTGATAAGGCCGGCTCCGGCAGGCTCCTGTGCTGGTGGGCTGTTCACGCACGGATCGGGGTGTGCACGCGGAGGCTTGGGTCATTGGGCAGAGCTTCTAAAGTTTTCGGGTCTGTGTGAGTGTGAGGGAGATTGGTGTAGAGTGTTAGGGTTTCTGGGGGTTTGAGTGCGAAGAGAATTCGAGGTACATGACGTGGCGCATGGGTTCGAGACGAGGCCCCGAAAACCCTTAAACCGTCAAACCCCAGAAACCCCCAAAAATCGAAAAAGCCCTAAACCTTAAACCCTAAACCTTAAAACCCTAAACCTTAAACCCTCAACCTCCAACCGCACCAGGGCCAGGTGGCGCACGTCGACCTGCTGAGCCTTCCGGACCTTGATGCGGACACCCTCAGGCACTCCCGGGGCGCGAGGTTTGCTGTGGGGGTGGGGGCTGCTCGGGCCCTCAACGCACGAAGCGTGCGAGTTCAGAGTCCATGCCAGCCAAGCTTCTCATGACATGTGGATTGCTTGCTGGACAGCCTGCACAGACCCTGAGCATCCCTAAAACCCAAACATCTCCTAAGTACTCTCGGCATGCCGGAGGCGGCGGGTGAACCGCCGGCTGCCAGAAGACGTGCTACTCAGTCGCCTGCGTTCTGTTTAATTCTTGTGAACTGCTGCGCTGGGATGTCCGCACATGTCGAGGTGTTCTAGAAGTTAGAATGGAAAAGACAGAAGCCGAAGGAATGGCAGCAGCCGCCAGTAAACAGAAGCTGCATTATGTCTACAAGGGCTGACAGAGCAGGTAAGGCAGTTGCTGGAAGCCTACCCAGCCACCCAGCAGCAGACAAGCTCAATCCTGGACGGCACTAGCGCGTGACCCTTGTTGGAATCTTCGGCTTTGCAGCTCATGCATTGGTGCCAGAAATGTCCTTTACCCCCTTGCTATGACCGTAGCCTTTGTGCCGTTCATCAAAGAGGGCCACCCCGCCCCCCCCCCCCCCCCCCCCCCCGAAGCCTCCTGAAACCCATTCCCAGAAAGAGGATGCCGATGGATGGACGCGGTTCCCCAACCGAGGTCAACAGAAGCTTTCACGCGCGGAGGTCCGCCTTGCACAAGTGCCTGGACAGCCAGACTACTTGTCCTTCGGGGACTTCGGAGTGTTCCCCCGGGCAAGGCATTGTATCATACATTCGAGGAGTTGGCAGGGGGAGGTCCAAGCAGGTGTGTGGCGCAATATTCTAGATTTCAGGCGCTACCGCTACGACTTGCTGCTGCGCCCGCGCCCGTCGCCGTTCGAAGCGCGGTTTGTCTGGGCAGCTTAGATGTCAGCAGAGCCAAGCAAGAAGTGTGCTTTTCTGCGTGCCCATGGCCTGATCTTCAGTGCTGTCTTTGGTAATGGTTGTTTGTGAGAATCGACATCTGCCAGCAATTTCAAGGCAATCACCTGCACAATTTGCCACCGTCCTATGATCTGACCAGAAGCCTGACAGTACTTCCCTTGCAGCGAAGCTCCGAGCTCGCTCTGAGATGTACCGAGTACCGAGTAGCATTCCTGATCAAACCCTTGTGCAGAATCACAACGCAGCTCCCTGAACCCTAAATGCAAAGCCCTCGGCCCTCAACAGAGCCGAAACCCTGGAATCCCAACCCGAGCCCCCACTCCCCCCCCGCCCCCCTCCTCACGCCCAAATGAATGCTTCAAACCTCAGCCCAGGCAGTGGGTGACCTGCCCGCGGCCACTATTGCCGAGGCCGCACAGCGGCTCAATGGGCAGGTGCGGGGTGGCTGCCAGGTTTGTTTTTGTGTCTTTTGGGGGGGTTCATCGAAGGGTTTGGGGTTCAGAGGTGCTTCAGGGTTCAGGTTTACACTCTTGAGTCTTGTGGGATGAGGCGACCTCAACCCCCTTTAATTACTCGCTTCGGCTTCCTTCCCAGAGAAGGCCCTGGACTGCAGCCTCCTGACCGTGAACTGGCGGGCTTCCTGCAGAGCTGGCACGGCGCCTCCATGCAATGTGGTCATGGGCCCTTCGAAGCCGCCCCCAAAGTTTTTTAAGGACCATGGCCAGGCTACTAAGAGGCCATGGGCTTTTTCTAATATGCACCTTTTGAGTAGGATCGGGGGCCTTCTCTCTCCCGGACTGTCATGTCGGCTGTTTAGAGGTTTTGCCATGAGGATCCAGCTTCTGTGAGGCTTCCGCATGTCACCCATCTACAGCTTGACGTCAGGATGACTTCGATGAGGCCTACTACGGGCCGCTGACGAAGCGGCTGCATCCTCAGAGGCCTTTGTTAGCTAACTGCAACATCTGCGCCACCAGAATCGTTTCCTCAAAGCGCCCCCCTTCGGCCCCAAGGCTGCTCATCGACACATGCTGGGACGCTGCATCGGAAAAGCTGATCCTCAGCTGCCACCATTTGCCTGCCCCCTTTGGTGTGTCATTGAAGAAGTCTTGGTTGCTTTTTGTGTGTTGCAGGTTTTACGTACACACAGCACAAAGTTCGGCTCTATAACAGCACCTTGCGGCTAGCCAAGGAGCGTGCGCCTGGAGTGCAAGGCTTTCCTGTACAGGCGGCCTGTGTGGCGACCCCAAGAAAGCCCCAGCGGGTTTCTCTTCCATGGCCTTGTGTACATGTCTTGCAAGCTCCATGTGCTCAGTCCTCTTGATTCTGGTCCTGATGTTGGGTGCACTAAAGACTATATGGGGCCGTGCTAAGACCGGAAAGGGAAAGGGAGCAGAAAGTGCCAGTTGGGTAGATCTTTGACGGCTGGACTCTTAGACGCTGGGTTTCGGGAGGCCCCGCTGGGCCCTGAGCCCTAACTCCTACACCCAAGAACCTCCTGAACCCTAAACCCTAAACCCTAAACCCCAAACCCTAAACCTTAAACCCTAAACCCTGAACCCTGAACCCTGAACCCTACACTGCAAACGCCCGACAGCTGCAGGATGGCTCGGGTTGCGGTTTCTGCACTTGTGGCCGGCGCACGCGGTGTCATCGACCCTGCAGACCTCAGCGACGCCGGGCACCCCGGGGTTTTCTGGGGGTTTCAGGGAGGCGCAGCTCCGACAGGTGTCTCCAATGTTTTAGGGTTTAGGGTTTAGGGTTTAGGGTTTAGGTTCTGATCAGAACCCTAAGGCCTGCTTGCCTTGGATTTGCACAGCTTGCACTGTGTTGGCAGGGAGCGGCATCCTGTCCGATTATCAGACGTTCTCGTGTTCTTCGTGATGTGGTACGTGTGTTTGCCTCATGTTCTCTGGAACTTTTTTGGCTGTTACCTGACTGCACACAGGAGGCTGTGAATGGTGTAGGTAAGCCGTCTCATGGATCCCCCTTTCATGGCGCCCACGCTTGAAGAGCCATCACAATCAGTCAAGTATGCCAAGTTTTGCTGCACCTTTTCAATTCTCCCTACCGCCGAACCCCTCTGAACCCTGAATCCTAAACCCTTAAATCGAAGCCCTATAACCTCTTAAACAGTTAAACATCCGTACCGTTGCGTCCTGGAGCTCGGAATGGGCCCAGGCCTCCTCTCCGACCTTCGCCAAAGCTATGCGAAGAGTGAAGGGCAGGAGTGGCGGGTCGGGTTTTGGGGGGGTTTGCGTTGGGAGGTTGGGCCACCAAGCACCCGAATGGCCCTCAAGCCCCAAGCAGAGGGCACTTCTGCCTGGAGTTGGGATTCGGAGAGCTTTTTTCGGGGGGGTTTGGGCAGTTTTTAGGGTTCGGCGTGGAGCCCTGAAGCAGCCCTGAAGCTCCTCAAGCCCTGGCGAGGATGGAGCTGGCCCCGCCCAGTGGTTTGTTCCTTGAAGAGGTTGCGTACCCACCAGAAGCTGGAGATGGCAGAGCAAAAAAAGTGGTGAGACTGCTGGGGGATCAGAGCTTGTGGGGCTCATGTGGGATTTTTGGGTGTTTGGTTATTTGGGAATTTGAGGATAGGGGCTGCAATCTTTGTGTGTGCACCACTGTGGCTCAAGCTTACGTTCTACCACCGTGTGAAATGCGCGAGCAGCGCCCGCCGCGTGGCTGAAGTTGTTGGGATGCTTTCGAGAGGTTTGGCAGGAGGCCGACGGGCCAGGTTGGGTGTTTGGGGTTCGAGTGCACTGGCCCATGTTGCGGAGTGCTGTGGCGCTGAGACTCGGCATGACTCGATCTTCGAGGATATGGGCGTCCTTTCTGCCCCTCGGCAGCAGATATTCAGACATGGGTCGGGCTACTGCTGCTTGCTGCAGTGGCTATTTGCGGCCGCATCCTACCAAGATTGGTTGCGGTTATTGACGGATACTTTCAGCGATTGAGAACGGTCACAAGAGTTATGCATGGGGGTGGGCAGGCAAGTCGGCAGTGGGGGCTCAGTTTGCGCTTGTCTCTGCCATCCAAGAACCCTGCTGTCCTATGCAGCCGCAGCCTGCACAGGACAGTTCGTTTGGGGGCTTAGGGGTGTTTTGTCCAGAGGCTATCTTGTCTAAGGGTAGTTACATGGGCCCTTTTGATGGTCCCTCACCTCCTGAACAGGGTGCTGAAGTGTGGGCCCTTTAATTTTTAATGGGGTATATAAGGGGTATGTAAGGGGTCCCGTTCTAACCTTCTAAGGGCCCATTCGGAATCCTAGCCAGACAATCTCTGAACCGCGAAGGAGACAATTGCAAAGCGGGGGAAGAGGCGCTCCGGGTCAAAAACCATGGTAGAGCTGATGTGACTTGGGCAGGAGCAGCAAGAATAGCAGTTGCGAGGATGGAACTTCCCTTTTCTGCGGATAAGGAGCTTTTAACAACGTGCTGGGTATTTGGCCCTACAGCCATCGTGTTTCACCTTCTCCAACCAACCGCATTGCAGGCCAGATGTCCGAGGCGTTTAGGGCGTGGCTCGTAAGATCCTTCGATGTGTAGGCCGTGCTGATGCAGATTCGGAGCAACAGTCAGATGAACTCTTCGCTGCCACTTGGCTGGTGCAGGTTGCCATGAGAAGCCCCGCCGCTTGTAGCTTCCCACTGGGAGTTTACGAAAATAAAGTACTCAAATATAGACCCCCAAGCAGTAGGATTCCCTGATATAAGGACCCCAATAAGGTACCCCAAACCCCCCATGTGCTCATACTGCCAAGGAAAGAGGTCCAACCCTTTGGGACCAACCTCGGAGGAGGGGAACGGAGGGCTCCTCTTGTCAACTGGGCGGTTTACGAAATGAGGGACCCCTTACGTACAGATCTCCATCCAATAAGGTACCCCTCTCATGTCGGAAACCCCTAACTCAGCATCTGTGGCAGTGTATTCACTGATGCAGGTTCGGGGAAGCGCTCGGATGTGCTAGGATGAACATGTTGCTGGTGCTGGACTGTTGAGGGTTGCAATGAAGCCCCCCTGCAGGCTGGCTTTGCCTTGAAGACTGGTTCTTCTCCGGCTTTGCTGGGCGCTACGTGTCGGGGCCCGGGACCTCCACGGACAGGAGTATGGTTGGACGGACGTTAGGATGGCGGCCGTTTTGTGCAGTTTCTCGAACCCTCCAAAAGAAGCGAAAGCCCAAGGCTAACATACAACCGACCGAAGCACGATAGCCCCAAGCCCTACCAGCAGCCCGGAATGACGGAATTCTGAAACCGAGGACCCAAGGCCCAAACCTTTTTGGCTCTCCAGGTCAACCTCCGACGGGGTGGGCCAGGGCGCCTGCTTGCCGCCGCTGCTGTTGGGCTGCTGGGCCTTCAATATGTTTTGTGTTTTAAGCTGCTTGGAGGTTAGTGGGGGGGGTTCATGGGAGCCAGTTGTCTCCTTCCCAACCCCTCCTCTGCTGCTGAATGCAGACGTTGGCTGAAGAACTGGCGGGGAGCCTATACACGCGAATATGAGCTTTGGCAGCTTTGGGGTGTAAGCTCTTAGCCCTGGCACTAAGACTGCCTCACCTCGTACAGGAGAAAAGTAAGCCAGCAGCTAGGGAACAAAGGGGCAGTCACACCTGAGACAGAAGGCCCACCACACCTAGGAAGCAACCCAGACCTTTGCCGGAGAGGAACAATAGCCAGCAAACAGCATCCACACCTAGAAGAATCTCAGACCCCTGCTGCACCCACCTTGTGTCATTAGAGATGTGAGCGGAGAGTGGTGAGACTTCAAGGCGGTCAGGCCTGGAGCCGCGATTGATCTTGGGCATGTCATTCACCATAGCCGCAAGGTCGTGATGCATCTGCCTCGTCTAAAGACCCCTTCCGCTTCTAGAATTGCTCGGGTTGGTTTCGAGAGCTGGGAAGGTTATGCCTTAGGGGTTTCGTTCATATACTCCCAGCACAGAACCCCTACATTGCCCAAGTTCTCTGAGGAAGCTTCCCCCCACATGCCTACTTGCACGTTCCGTAGAGGGAATCTGAAGTTCCACATCCCCCATCCCCTCAAACCCCAAACGTACTGGAAGGCTCTTCATAAGGAAGCAGGAAGGTACCCCATCTAGTCGCCATGCGAGTCTTAAATCCTACGCCTCCGACTGAGAACCCGCGAACGCCCGAGAGCCCCCGCGGAGCACCTTTTTTAAGACAGTGCCGATGAGAGTTTGGATCCCTTGAGTTGCTTTGGGGTTTGGGGTTTAGGGTCTGGGGTTTGGGGTTTGGTTTAGGGGTTAGGGTTTAGGGTTTAGTGGTCAAGGTTTGGGGTTTAAGGTTTAGGACACTTCAGCTTCAGGTGATGAGGGTCCCTGGCCATCCGAGGGCGTCCTCACACAGAGGCGGGGTCAATTCTGGGACTCCGAGCCAGGGGAGCTTGTTTACGTTGCGATCCTTTGAATTCCGAAGCCTTGAACCCCAAGAAGGCCGAATCCCGAAGCCCCAAGAAGCTCCAATGCCCTAAGGCTTGTAGCACCCCGTTCTTTGGATCATGGCAGGCTTGTGAAGCAGTACGGCAAGCAGTTCGCGGCCGAGGTTTTCATGGCCCACAGGCCAGTCTTCGCGCATGGGGATGGGGTTGTTCCAATTTGGCCCTGACATGGTGGTGTGCTGCTTTTCCTCAGAGTTTAGTCAGTCTGCATCCTGGACCAGAATGCGTATCAATTTAGTGAAAATTCGTGGCGGGATGAAGTATCTCTTCCTGATAGTTCCAGGAATCGCGAATCGAATCTGCCACCCCAAACGCTCTGGCATGCACCTTCCTTGTTTCATGCCCACACAGAGGCGGCAAGGGCTCACTTCCATGAAAATTGACTGGTGACCAGGAATGACTTCATCGGACCGACTGACCTCCAGGCATGCGGGATGGAACCAAACGAAATTCCCAGCTCTGTTTCATTAAAGCAGAATCGTCAGGAAGCCTCGAATTGTCGCCGCAGCCTGTGTGCAGCCATCGGTGGCGCAACGAGAGACCGCACCCCGAAAAGCTACGTTTGGCCATGTAACACCATAGTTCTACTGGTGACGCAACAACTGGTGACGCAACAGCTGTTGCAGCTTGTTTGCCTTCGTCATGTCGCTGTTCGAGGCCATGAAGAAGATCGGCATCAAGGTGGTCAGAATCCCTATTACCTGGACTCTCTTCGCAGATGCCCTCGCTGTTGTTGTCGCTCGGCAGTGTTCCCCTCCGGGAATTTAACATCCGAGGTCTCTAAAGGGGCTATATGGGGCTGTTGCATCTGCAGGTTCCCAATCTACTTTCCTCAACTGCACTGCGATGTCATAGTCGAAAAGCTATCAATGAAATTCTAGAGTAAATGCGAACCGCTGGCCCAGGGTGAGGGGCTCATTGGTGCTACTTTTTAATTCCGCAACGCCAGCGAGAAAACCTAGTTCTCTGCCCACGAAGCTGGTTGTGGCAGCCCTCCCTAAACCCTAAAAACCCTAAACACCCTAAACCATCTGAGGACAAGAAGGTGTATGGCTCGCACGACCCTATCAAGGACACCGTCATTGCAGCTGGGTTGCAAATTGATCGCAGTGTGGAGTCGGCATCTTGATGTGAAGGAAAATGATTCATATACCAATGAATAAACTGATCATAGTAATATACTAATTCATATACTAATTAAGATACTAAGTAGTATGCTGCTACTATATTTTCTGATTTTCCTAATTTGTTAATGTACTTGTTAATATACCGACTAATATACCGATTACTGTACTGATCTTAGAGCCGCCTGCCAGGTGCCAGATCCCTACTACACCAAGGACTCGGGAGCTCTGTCGCATGGGGGCTCAGAGTTTGAGGAGTCCACGGCTTCTAGGGATGCTTAGAGGCAGCCATATACCCTGTGCATGCAAATCTGAAATCCTGGCAGACGCTTCAAGATTCTCGCGCTTGTAGGTTTTGGGGTGTAGAGATGCTGATAGCGTCACGTCCCCAAAACAGTTAAACGCAGCAGCCGACACCATGAACCGCATGAGATCTATGGACCGTGATGAGCAAAGCTGATCTGCCTTAAGCAAGGAAAGCCAAACGAAAAAGACCTGAACCCCCAATCCCTACAGGCCTGGCTCCAAACTTGGAGAGCTTTTCAGAGCCCTTAGTAACCTGGAAGCCCTCAAAGCCACCCGTAAAGATCCTAAGAACCCTACTCAAGAAAGAGACCCACTTATAACCCCCAGACCCCTGCAACCGGCGAGAACATCTCCTACGCGACCATCCCGCGCAGCCTCCTCGAGGGCCTTTTCATCCAGGTGGGCTTTTCTAGTTCGTCGGTATGCGTCTTTTTCTGCTTCGGGTGCGAGGGGAACTGAGTGAGGGTGGGTGCAAGGGTCTGTGGTTTGGGTGTGAATGTAAGGGTTTAGGGGACTTCGGATTTTGGGAAGGCTGCTTTTGCTTGTGAGGTCTCTTGGGGTGTTTTGCCCAGCACAGCGCCTGGCAGGCCTTGGAATCGTCTTCAGGGTTCACCCAGTGTTGACCCCCAGCCCTATCTGAGCTACTGGACAGCGCAAGGCGCCAGTGCCTCTGAACCAGGGGATGCAGGATGGACATGGAAATCCCTTGGGCATTGAAGACTGGCAGCGTGGTGTTACATCCACGCCTCTTTCTTCGACTGAGCAAAAGGCTCCCCCGTTTTGGCAGAATATCCACTGTGGTGGAACATCCGTAAAATTCAACCTGTATTGAGGAATACTCCCGCTTCCTGACTGCCTGCAAAGCAAGTTGTCGCGTGATTGTCGTCAGGGTCAACGCTGTGTCATGGGCTCAAACAACGACAGACGCAGTACTGCGCTCCCCTCTGTATGCCACATGTGCCCCAATTGCAGCCTCCTACGTCTGTACTGCAAGCCTAGACCCATACGTCAGCCACCTTGAATCCTTAAGCATCACAGCCCCCCTGGGCTCAGGGCAACAAGCTTGGCCTCAAGTTCCTGCTGGCCACTTGGGGCAGCTCAGAGGGTCTTCCCCCCCCCCCCCCCCCCGGGCTTTTTGGAAAGGAAACGCTCGCACCTTTACAGTAAGGTGCTGGTTCCCTGAAACTTCCAAACACTTTCAAGCGCCCCCTGCACCGAGGATCTTCATGCCTTTCCGGGTGGATCCTCTGATGGCGCCACGCCCCGGGAAGTTTGGCATGCTGAGGGCTTCACCTCGAACCTCTCATTTGCCCTGAGAATCAGTTCGCCCCCCCCCCCCCCCCCCCAAAGCCTTTAAACCCCCCTAGGCGCCTTTAAGTATCCCCGTAGCCCCAACTTAAGTGCCGCCACACCCCTGAACCATGAAGCTGCAGGTTCGAGGGTTCGAATGCAGGGCTGGGGGTCTGGGGGTCGTGCTGAGGTTTAGGGTTCATGGGGGCAGGGCTTGAGGGTTTTGAGGTTGGAGGGTCTAGAGGCTTCGGGTTTAATTATGGTTTAGGGCTCAAGATTTCGGACTTGGTTCGGATCTGTCATGGCAGGCAGAGTGAGCTGTTTCAAAGGGTTCTAGGGGTTGAGGGTTGTGTGGTTCGAGTCCTGCCTGGGCCTTTGATGCCAGTTTTTCCTCAAAGCCGGTAGAGCTCCGGACACATCTCAGGCACCTACAACGGCATCTACCCCTCGAAGCCGGTGTTCTGGAGGGAGTCTGTCCAAGCTTCTTGGCTTTCGACCCCGCCGAGGGTCCAGGGCTGGGGGTTCGAGGGCCCGGTTAGGATTTTTTCAGGGAGGTGGAGCGACTGTCGGCATCTTGCGAAGGGTTGCTGGTAGCTGACGAGCGGTTGTGGTTCATGCAGGGCTCCGTTGACGGACTCTCAGGGCTCCTTGGTTTCAAGATCCTTTCATGCTTGAGGGTTTCCATGTTTGGTCTAGGACAGTTTGAGGTGGGCGGTTTCCCCCCTGGTGCGCCTGAAGACATCATGCTTGGGGTTTGCTATTGGTGTGCTGCCCCGGCACTTGGACACAATTTCCGAAGTGCCCGCAGATTTCTTTTGGATTTCTTTCCGGGTGTCCGCTGATTCCCCTGTGAGGCTTCTCAATTTCCAGCAATCCTTCATGGGCCCGGGGCCCTTAAGGCCTATCCCGAAACTCCTCTAAGCCCCTAAACCCTCAGGCACCTTGCAGTAGCCAGCCCACCACTCAATGGGTAACTAGGGATCATATCATCCCTAGGATTAGATACAGAGATCTGAGGCATCTCATTCCTACTTCCCCACTGAGAACGAATTACGAGCTACCTGACCTCTACTTCCTACAAAAGAACTAGGTACTGGCTCGGTTATAGGGTTCCTCCCAAGTTCTTCCCGAAGCTCCGCACTGCCCTCGCCCAGTTGGGCAGCTCACCGCGCATTTCCCTGCAGGAGGCGGGTCCGAATGCGGAGGGCAGACCCCCCCGACATCCCCAAATCCCCGAAAAAGTTCAGGGCTTAGGTGAAATCCTGAGGTTCAGGGTCGTGAGACTTCTCCCTACGAGTGGCTGGAGGGCGATCATTGGACTTCCGTTTCAACACTTCGGCTTTCTCACGGGTAAGATTGCTCCTCATGTCAAAGCTTGGCTTGATGGGCTACTGTTCTGGGCCTTTCTTCTTGAATCATCTTCAACCGGCAGACGAGCAGACATGGAGCCGGTGAGAGGGTTTAGGGTCCAAGGCGCAGAGTTGCATCCATCCTCCTGTGGCCTAAGCCGTCCATTTCCCTAGATTCCCAATTCTGAAGCTCGATGCGGCCCCAGCTGCACTTGTCTTTTCCGGGGCCATATGTGTTCATTCTTTGCTTAGCCCCCTGTGCTTGCCCTCACCAAACACATCATCAGGCTGGGTTGCTCATCGTCGAGGCGGCCATCAAGTGGTGGCCCGGCTAGGGAGATGCATAGGGTTTGGAGATGTTTCGAGTTTAGGCTGTGGAATCTTGGGGGTCGGAGGCTTCCTGGGGCGCAGGGTGGTTGCTCAGCCGGGGCGTGGAATAGTTGCCTTGCATGTGGTGCGAGGAAGAATTCTTGGGCCGCTCCAGATTCCAGTTTCACCGAACCAATGATCTTCAGATGATCTTCAGTCTCAACTTCTGATCCTCAACCCTCGACCCCTTCTACTCCCTGGACCCTAAACATTGAAACCGAAACCTCAAACACTCTGAACTCCACAAGAGCTGGTCGTCAGAGAGCACGCTGCTCTTCTATGGGGGTAGGGGGTTCGTTTAGTCTAAGCGTTTTGGGGCTTAGGGTTTAGGGGTGCGTACTCAGATTCCCCGGCCAAGGATTGAGGGCCTAGACGACGATGTCAAGAAGGCCGTGTATGGCCTGTCACCCATGCCGCTGGGCTGAGGAGGGGCAACTCCTCCATCTGAGCTTAGGTTGGCCTGTCGGAGTTTTGGGGGTAAGGCATAGGTCGAGAGTGCAGACTCGTCGTTTTTTCGATGACCGCTCAGGAACGAGCCCGCCCACCTGGCTGGATTTCAGATGCTCGCCCGGATCTGTAAGCCGCGGAGGGTCTGAGGGTCCTCAGAATGGAAACCCTAAACGCTAAACCCTAAACCCTAAACTTTAGGCCCCAAACCCACTTTGCTGAAAGGAACCCCACCTTTGCTCATCCCGACGAAGTGCTGGTGTGGCTGGCGGAAGCCACGGACCTCTTCAAGAACTCCAAGTTGCTCGGTGTTCCCTCGAGCCCTAAAACCTAAACCCTAATCCCTAATCCCTAATCCCTAAACCCTAAACCCTCCAATTTGAGGAACAAAGTGAACAAAATTGCTCTGAGGTTGGTCGACCAGGCTGGGCTTCTTGTGCGTTCGAGTGGGCGAGTTGAGCTGGAGCTCGGCAGAACTCCAAGTCTCGGGGGCTTGGCTATTTAAAGGATCAGGGGACTTAGTAAGCAGGGATATCATTAGGGCAACTATAGATACAAGTACTTGTAACCCCAAGTAGGTTACTTTTCACCCTACTTCGTAAAGCTGTGTTGCTGTGTTGGTGGAACCTTGGAGGAATCTGGAGTGGAGGGTGGGTGACAGTTCTGTAAGTAGGCGTGGATGGCCTGAATGTGACTACAACGTTACATCCTGGTCAGGGCATGAAGATGTACATGCAGGTCATCGAGAGCCTTTGTTGCACTTGGAAAGTCTTGCAGGTGCTTTGCAGGTAGGCTGGAGTTCCCAACAGAGCCAGAGTAGGCTTGACGGCGGAACGGCCATCTGTCTGCTGGTGCGGGCCTCTCGTGCTCAAAGTAGGCCTTTGAACAGGGTGAACAGGGTGCAGCAGCTCGCCAGAGTTTGCTCACAGACGGTTGGCTGACAAGTGATCCGTCCCTTTTGAAGATCCAACAGGTCTTAGTCTGTATGCGTGGCTCACCTTTGATACCAGTAGAGTGTCTACTGCGAGGCACTGTGGTAGGCCATGCTGTTGCTGTAGGAGATCCAGCATGAGTAAACGAAGCTGTGGAAAACAACCAGAAAGGACGGCCTTTCCTGGCGGTTCCTTCAACTCGATGGCAGCTGTGTTGCAATCTGTGTCGAAGCTGTGCTGCTGGATTTCCAGTAGTACCCGGAGCTTATGGCACACCTGTCTAAGTTCCACTTTTTGTTTGGTCAGCTCTGTCAGCCGTCACGGTAAATCTTCAATGGAAAGATGATGTGGCTGGGGGGGGGGGGGGGGGGGGGGGGGGGGGGGGGGGGGGGGGGGGGGGGGGGGGGGGGGGGGGGGCGGGGAGTGGAGTGGGGAGTGGGTGGGGGGGGGCTGTGGAGGGGCTGCACATAGCAAAGCTGGCATAGCATCTCTTGTGCAGGGCGACAGACTTGCCAGACTCAAGACTTCTACAGTGAGGTTCCTTCTTGGTGGAAGAATACCACGAGCAAAAAGGATCGCGAGACCTGGGCCGGTGCCTTACACAAGAGCCCGCTGCTCCTAAACTCCAAAACTTCTGCCCCAACAAGAAGCCTAAACTTTAAACCCCTGATCGCTGGTAGCAAAGCCTCAGCCATTCCTTTGCCTGCCTGGCTTTTATTTCTGCGAGAGGCAGTGTTTGACATGCACTGGTACACCGCCTGGGGCACGAAGGCTCACGGCGAAGGGGGAGTGGCTTTGACAGGTCGGCATGCCTCTGCGCGTTTTGAGGAACCCCCCACTAGCCACTGTAGCTTGAAATTAGCCAAATGTCAAAAACCTGGTTCAATTCGATGCTTTCCGGACCTGAGCCCTGAACCCTAAACCAACAGACCTTGAAGCCCAAGGCCTTGAAGCCCGGTGAAGCCCTCAAAAGGCTGCCCTCCTCCCGGGCGAAGCGGTCCTCTGCAGCCGGCCCTTGGACGAGATTGTGGAGGCCGACTCGCGAAGGGCTCCGAGAGCAAAGGGCTGAGAACATCTGAAAACCCTCCTTGTGGAGGATAAACCCTAATACGGGGGTTTCCGATATTCAGGGTACCTTACTGGGGTCCTTTAAAAAAGGAATCCTACTATTTGGGGGACATGTGCGGCAGATGAGGCAGAAGTGCCATCTGCTTGCCACACGAAGCGATGGCGCGTCACTGAGTCAGGTTTAGCTAGTTCTGCAGGTTCTAAGGGAGTCATACGGTTCTGCAGCTGGCATTTACGCCATAGACTGCAGGTTCTGGGGCCAACAGAGTTGCATCCCAAGGCCCGTGAATAGGTTAGAGGTCCTCTGAGACTTACACATCGTTGTCAGGCCCCTGTCTTCCCGAGATCCCACCAACAATCTTGGCGCAGGTCTTGACCCCGGGCATTGTCGGGTTTGCAAAGAGCTTTGAGGCCATGGCGAACTTGGTAGGTTTCTATGCTTGTGCACTTGCTCTGTATCTCCCCTAGCGGCCCTCGCACTTGCGTGTGGAGAGTGGCGTCACAGATTCGGAGTTTTGCGTCTGGCTGCGCGGGGCGTGTGATAGGGGTCAAGTTGGGTCATGCAACATGTGTGCTTGCCACGCCCTAGCACCTATCAGTCTCCAAAGCACCCCCCCCCCTCCCCCCCCTCCCCCCCCCCAAATCCTGCTGTCACAGACGCCATCGGACACCCCGAAGTCTGCTGGCCAGGAAAATTTTGATGGCCAGCGAGCCACTTCCGTACCCCGGCCAAGTCCGCACTCTGCATCTCACCGGTTCTTTGTTTGGGAAACTGGGAGTGTGTTCAAAGTTCAAGGGTTTTGGGGGTTTTGGGGTTTCAGATTCGGGTGGTTCTCTTGATGAAGGGGAGTGGTGCTCCTCATCTCACATAAACAGCAGGCTGTTCTGACGGGCGTGAGGATCTTGGACTCTGACCCTTCGACTTCAAAGCTTTGCCTTTGAAGGTTTCAAAGTTTCGGGCCAGAACCTCCCCCAACAAACCCTCGACGCCTCAACCTCCTGAACCCCAAACTGCAACCCCCCCCCCCTCCTTCCCAAAAAAACAAAAACAAGGCCTAAACCCTATAAACCCTAAGCTAAACCCTACATTCCCTTTACAAACTTTTACAAACACCCTGCCATGGATGGGATCGCTGCAGGAGTTTTCAGCAAGCACGAACGCAGATGCCCTCGTGGCTCGACTCGTCCTGGAGTTGGGGGGGTTTAGGGTTTAGGGTTCAGGGTTTAGGTTTTAGGGTTTAGGGTTTAGGGTTTAGGGACTTCGGAGTTTTGGTTCTAAAGGTCTCTAGGTTTCGCCACGAGCCGAACCCCTGTGCTGTCATTCGGAGGCGCAGTCTTTCAGGGAATTTGTGAAAGTCGAGCTTACCATCCTGAGATGACAGGCTTCGAGCCGGCATCGCATACTCGCAAGCACATCCTGCTCTGTGCCGAGGTGGCTTGCAGCGACACCGCGATTACCAAGGCCTTCATGCTGAAGCAGGCGAAGAGTGTCAAGCCCTAAGCGGACAATATTCCAAGGCCAACAAGGCCTGCGCCCAAGTAACGCTCTGAAGCGCATCGAGCTACGGAACTGCCCTCAGACACCACAAAGAAGCTACAGTACCCCAAATGCAAATTCCAGTTGAAACAGTTCATTACATCATGTGATCCTCGCAGGTGGAGGTCATGCAGCTCCTTGGCCTAAGGGAGGTTCTTTTGAATCTGAGAAGGCGAAATCCGAAAGCATCGAGCTCAAGAGCCGCAAGCATTGGGATGTTCCCCCTTATACTAACAGTCCTTCATAGGGGTTATAATCGAGGGTATTATAGTCCCTATTAAGGAGTAGGGGGATCATCCCAACGCACGCCTCTCAAAAAGGGGCAGTGGGTCACAGGGAACCCCAACCCGTTTCAGGGGCGAGTTTTGTATTTCACTTTGGGACAACCGACAGCTGGGAGATCTTGGACTCGATGGTTCTGGGAGGGCAGGCTTCGGCGACGGCGATGCTGAGGTGGTTTTGTTACGCTGCGCGCAGCCCCCCGCCCACCCCCTCCGGCTATGAGGTGCTTCCATTGCTGGGACCCCAACTACATTTACATCTCAATGCCCCAGATGCGGAGATCTCTAGCCCATCTTTTGTGCGCCCCGTCCTGGCTTCCCGCCCTAACGCTTGCATCCCAGAGCCCTTCACTTTCGCCAACCCAACTATCGCGGAATCTGTGGGGTCCCAAACCCCTTCCTCCTGCACACTCAAAGTACGTCTCACACAGGGACATTGGCACGAAACCCAGCACGATTGTCATTGGACGGTATCTTGTGCAACGGGGTCGGCATGCGGCCGCCAGCAAGGGCGAACGCGGCTCGAGTGCAGTCACTGCAAACACAGGCGCAGTACTCAACAAAACCACGTTGATGAGCTCCTCTTCTGCAGTTCCGCAGCTCAGGGTGTTCATGCTTCTGTCTGTGCCCCCCACGCGGCATCGCGGCGACGTGTCCGTAGCGAGTCGTTCCACGGGAATCAGCAGCGCGCCTCCGTGTGCCCATGGCACTGCGAATACTTCATGGGTTTGGTGATGCTTGGTGTGATGGTGGGAGTGCCGGCGTGCACAAAGACGCACGCAAAGTACCCGAGCAACTCCCGCCGACTCCCGCCAACTCTTTTTTTCGTCGGTCCAAAACAAGCAAACCCAAACCCATTGGGAAGCCTGAACCCGTTGTCGCAGGTCACGACCTATTTTTCACTTTCAAGTCCATGAGCTCAGAATTCAGGAACCACGGGATCAATCCTTACTTCTGGTCCTTGAAGATGCCCTACGGCCGGGAGGCTCAGACAACAGCAGGGCTTCGAAGTGTGCGGTGATTTTTTTTTTTTTTTTTTTTTCGCTGGGCTCTTGGGGCAACCTCGTGGGTTTTCTGATATTCTGGCACTGCCGGGGGTTTGAGAGTTTGGGTTTGACTTCCTTGGTGGGGTCATGAACCCTGTACCGGAGACCTTGAGAAACCCCAAACCCCGGGAGGTCCGCATTTCCAGAGTTCAGCTGAGGCCCCGTCTTCGAAGCAGGATGGAGCCTGAAGAAGGCACCAGCTGATACATGGACGACTCCTTGATGTCATGTCGCGTTGCTTCAAGGTGTCTCACTGTGGTGGGCACATTGGGCACATTCCCTGAAGCAGACGCAGTGAAAGTGGCCTTCAAGCCAGATCATAAGCTAATTTTAACGCTACGCGACCCGCCTCGGCCCGGCCCAGCGCATCCGCGTGAGCATGGTGATTCCGCAGCGCCCAAGTCGCTGGATCCCAAGCAATAAGGGTTGGGTTGAGGGTTGAGGGTTGAGGGTTGAGGGTTGAGGGTTGAGGGTTCCGGGTTTATGGTTTAGGGCTCAAGGTTCACGCTTTGGGGTTGAGGGTTTTTTTGGGTTTAGGGTTCGGCTTGGGGTGATCGTAGGGTTGAGCCAGGCCATTTAAGGTTTAAGGCGACTCTTCGGCAGGGTGGGGGCAACCCCCCCCACCCCCCCCACCTCCCCCCCCCCTATCCCCCCCCTACCCCCTCCTTTTGTCCCTCCCCCAAAAGCCACATGAGCGGCTGGGCTCGAGGTGCTAATGGACGCAACAAGAGGGGCTTGATGTTTGCAGGTGTCGCTTTCGCACACCCAATGGTTCATGACCTAGGGGTGTCGCTTTTCAAGTGTTCCCATCGTTTTACAGGGTTTTGGGCATTCGTGTCCACTCCTTGCTTAATTGAATGGCTGGGGGTTTTGGCGCTTGCTCACATAAGGTGTTTGTGAAAGGCGGAGTTTTCCTGCTCCGACGCGCTGGCTTGAGGGCCGGAGGCTCAACTGGTGTGAGCACGGCGAACAGACACCCCCCACACTTTCGGACCCCTTTTTTTTGGCCTCAAATGGGTACCCCCCCTGGGAAACCGGGGTCCGCAAGCGGACGGTTCGCCAGGACCAGAGGCAGTTGAAGCCCCTCCCAGCAAGCAGGGCCCCCCCCACCCCTCCCCCACCCCCCCCACCCACCCCACACCCCCCCCCCACCCACCCCACCCCCAACCCCCCCCCCCCACCCTCCCCCACCCCCCACCCCACCCCCCCCGGTAGGTAGGGCGGGGGTGGGGGGGTGGGGGGGGGTGGGGGGGGGGTTGTCGGGGGGGGGGGGGGGGGGGTTTGGGGGGGGGGGTTGGGGGGGTAGGCTGCTGGGAAGGGCTGCAACTGCCTCTGGTCCTGGCGAACCATCCGCTTGCGGACCCTGCTCACCTAGTGGGGGTACCCATTTGAGGCAAAAAAAGGGGTCCGAAAAAGGGCCTTGGATGTGGGGGGAGGATTTGCCTGTTCTGACTTCCTCTTGCACCTTCGGCCCGAGGCCTCGGCGGATATTTCCCGGTGCATATACTCACAGCCAAGAGCGAGTTCTTGCTTAGACATTCCGCACACCTCCCTGAAACTTAAGACCAAACCTCCAGCCTCCAAGACCCCGAAATCGCAATAACATCGCACCTGGCTGCCAGATCTACGGGCTGCAAGACACGCCGCGCTTCCCATGCGCTGTGGGAGCAGGCGGCTTTCGGTGTTCTGACTCTGCTGATTTAATCCTTCAAGCGCTAGAGGGGGGGCCGTTTTGAAGGAGATCCCTGAAGCACGCAGGTGTCAACTTTCCGGCCGGGGATGTCCCTTGCTTCGCCGGGGACTGCTCCTGGGCAAACAGAGGGCCTCTTTTCTGGACAAGTCCTGAGAAGTCCTGCGCCTCGAATCTGAGGCTGAGTGATGCCTGGAAGTTCTCCAAGGTCTCCCAGGGTTCAGCTTTTGACTGCTTGCTTTTGGGCGCTGGCGATGTGAAAACTTAAGCCACGTGCTCGCGTTCCATCCTCTCCTGAGCACGCGGCCTCTTTGCACAATGCCCGCGCATCTTCTCTGAGTCCCGGTGCCTGCAGACTCCCTGAGGAGCCCCCTGTGTTGTGGGCAAATCCGAAGAGATTCAGCACAACATGGACTCCTGAGAGCATGGCTTTTCGCCTCCTCTGCTGTGTGCTCCATTTAGGGCACATAGGCGTATACGGAATATTTCTTCTGGGAAGCAAGTAGGTGGTTGAGAAGCATGGCGCAGAATGACCCTCAAACTTTGCAGAGCTGCATTTTTTGCGTTGGTGAGACCATTCAGTCGGATGGCAACGCTGGTCGCAGTCTTGCCCATTAGAAAGCGAGTACTGCCTCCACCATAGTGGTTTAATGCACCTCGGACTCAAGATTTCCGTGAGGCCGGCAGATCGCAGCAAAAATCTGACTTCGCAGACCGCGGTTTTGTTCTCGAGCCAACCCTTGTTTTCCTTTTCTGACTCGACTCTGTTGTTGGTGTTTATGACAACTGGTGGTAGCTAGCTATAACCATGCTCATTGCGAGTACTGTCCCAGCCACAATCGTTTGCCCGTAAGAACCCGGAGATTGAGCCAGGCCTAGCCAGGCCTAGATGTTAAAGCAGTACCTCTGTCTTATCACAAAGCGGTGAGGCGGACGCAACGCAGGGGCGACCGGGAGTTTGAAAGAACATGCTCATAACCTATGGCTAGCCTGGCCGGACGGGCCAAGTCCTTGATTTGATTCTTCAACCACGAACGGCGGGGCCTTTCCCTTCAATCTCCGACTCCCGAAAGCCCAAATCCCGAGCCTTCAGATTTTCTAGCGGCCCCCGAGGCCTGCTTTGGTGGGCTTGGCGGTTGTGGTCGTCGGCGATGCATGTCCGGGAGAAGGACCCATCGCAGGAAGAGCAAGATTCATGACCAGAGTTCTTTGTATTCGGACAAGTTGCCAACACTCGAAGGAAACAACCAGTGCACGTGGCAATTTCGGGAGACCACGCAGCACAAAGAAGGGTTTGTGGGGTTCCAGAGATTCGAGAGGCGCTCTCCTCCCGACACCACGTGCTGCTCCACTCAGCCGTAAGAGCTCTGGGCCAGATGGCGCGGGTGCCCAGCGTTGTGTTGTTTCCGTGTTGTTACACCGTGTAGTGCTTTAGGGATGTTTGAGGGCCAGGGTTCTTGCATTCATGTGGTAGCGCCGCATGAAGCTAAAGGCAAGCTTCTTGGAAGTGACCTCTCTTAGGACATCATTCCGCCTGAGACGATGCGCTCGGAGTATTTTCTACGATGGCGGCTCCAGGCGCTCGTGTGTGGCTGTGCGGAAGCCGTACTAGCTTGTGCTCCACCTCTGCTGCATGCTGCTGTTGCTGGTGGCTGACTTACGCCACTGGGAACCCTTCGGCACGCTCCTGTCCCAAGATCTGTGACATGTGACATGTCACGGACATGCATTCCAAGGATTTTCAGGACCATGGTATTGGGTTGACCCTTCACGGGAGAACAAGACCAAAGCCCCCCAAATGCGAGGTGCAACAGGAGCGGCGGAGCCACGTTGAGCGTATGGTCGCGTCGGATGCAGGACACGACGTGCTTGCTCCTGGGTCTGGACAAACGTGACGAAATCCGAAACCATCCTAAGCTCCTCAAACCCAGCCACCCCTAAACATCAACAAACAAGCAACAAAAGATAAAACTAAATAGAAATAGAAATATACATACAAATATAAACATGAAAATAAACATAAACATAATTCATAGCACCAGAAACAGCACCAGAAATAGCACCAGACATATCACCAGAAATATCACCAGGAATAGCACCAGGAATCCCCCTCAATTTTTGGCATTTGCCGGGTGCTATATGTTGTGGGTCTGCTGGTGGGGACTGTTAGTATGGCCGGTCCGGTCCCAAAGCATGAACATGAGCATAAGCATAAACATAAACATAAGCAGAAGCATAAGCATAAGCATGAGCATAAACACATAAACACAAACATAAACACATAAACACATAAACACAGCAACACATAAACATAAACACAAACAAAAACATTTTCATAAACATAAACATAACCATAAACATAAACATAAACATAAGCATAAGCATAAGCATAAGCATAAGCATAAGCATAAGCATAAGCAGACGCATAAACATGAACATAAACATAAACATAAACATAAACATAACCATAATCATAAATATAAATGCAAAAGCAGATATAAACAATATGAGAAATACACAACAAAATAAAGGAACGACAAATCCCTAAACCTGCCGAACCCTCGACTCGAACCCCACGGTGCAGACCGGCTTCGACGAAACCTGGGCTCGCTAAGCCGGCAAGCCTCAGCGAAGGAGGGGCGTTTTGGGAGGTTTGGGGTTTTTTTTGGGGGGGTTTTGGGTGGTTTTTGGGGGGGTTTTTTGGGGGGGGGGGGGGGTTGGGGGGTTGGGGCTTTTGGGGGGTTGCAGTGCTCCACGGCCCTCGCAGGTTTTCAGTTTTGAGGGTGTTTTTAGGTGTTTTTTTTGGGCTGGGTTTTATTTAGGGTTGGAGGGTTTGTAAGGCTTTTAGGTTTTTAGGCTTTTTGTTGTTCGAGCTCGTACGGTTTTAGGTCTTGTAGGGTTTCAGGTTTTAGAGTTCAGAAAGAAGGTTTCGAGGTTTAGTGTTTAGGCATTGCGTGTAGGGAGGGGTGCAGGTGCTTGATCACTTGATCACGCAAGCTTAGGAGCATGGCGATTGGAAGGCGCCTGGCAGGGTTGTGAGTTGAGAGAGTGTTGCCGTCCATTTTTTGCGCCTGTTTCTCACGGCCCTTTGGCGTCAGCACCGCCATATTGAGGTATTTCCCAAAAGTGGGGGCTGCCCCGTTTATACCCCAAATAGAATAGAAGCCCCTTAAAGGGACCCTCCAAAAAGGGTTCCCCTATTTTCGGAAACCACCATTTAGCAAGTGTGGGGGTTGATGCTCTAGGCTGCAGTGCTGTCTGAAGGAGCTCCTCTCGTCCTCGTGGGACGGGCCTGAGGTTGCGGCTTCATGTTCATTCGCAGGTCCATGACTTTTAGTAAGCTTCGCCCAAAGTTCAAAAAGTGAGGCGAGCAGATGTTGGTCAGGGGTCTTGTGGAGCGCTGCTCGTAAATTAAGGCATTCATGTCTTGTTTTGCCAGGCACAGCTTTCCCGGCTCTCGGTGGTGGTTGACGAGCTGCTGAACAAGTTGGACGTGCCCGCCTGATCGTGATGGGGTTCGTCTATGAGGATTGAAACTGCGAGCCCGAGTCTTGGATGAAGCCTGGCTTGAAGCCTGGCTACACTCGGCATATTCGACACACCCATGCCCCCTCCATGCATTGGTCTCTTGCTTCTCCTGAAGTTTGTGTTTTTGGCATGGCCCTCCTTAGAAAGTTGGGCCGGCCAACGACAGGTCTGCGTCTGGCCGGTTGCTGTTGTGGAATGGATCTTGCTTGGTGTTTTGGTGACGATGCTGCTGCAATGATGATAAATTTCGCTCCAGCCAAGCTGAAGCAACTGTGAGGATTCGCAGACTTCCACATGAGATTTCTGAGCGGCAGGGCCGTTGATGGTGCGGACTTGTCCGTCTTCCTGCATGTGGCAGCAGCTTTTGTAGCGTTTGAGGCATCGTGCGCGCCCGGGTCGCGTGTCACCGTGTACCGTTCCAGCTCCGCGGCAGACTGTTGTGGTCGATGCTGTTGTTCTCGAGACCTTTACATCAAGCCCTGATTGGCCCAAAGCCTCGAACAACACCAGCGGCAAGACTGGTTGGCAGGTACGGGGCGCCGCGCCGAATCTGGCCCGGGGCCCCTCTGAGAGGGAGTCGGCCGTTCTTCCGTTGGGTTAAGGGCACAGGAAGGGTCGGTTTTGGGTGTTGCAGATCGTCATGCCGAGCCCTGCTCGGGGCAAGGCGCGAGGCCCGAATTTCCCCTGAATCCTCCCGCCATGCAGGCTGATCTTGCAGAGTGAACGGGAGAGGAGACTGTCGACATTGGGTAGTTCTAGGTTTTAAGGCCTTTGAACTATACACGCGCACACTCCTGCATTCCGAAGTCTGAATTCCGCAAGAACCGTTCAAGCCCCCAGCGCACACCTTCAAGTCCATCCAAGTCCCCCAAAATCCGAAACCCTGAGCCCTGAACCGTAAACGCCCCCAAGGCCGCGGCAGCAGGCCGGCAGTCAGGTCTCCGCAATAGAGGCGCCATGGTGTTGAGCACGGATTAAGAGCTGGGCCTTGGGGGCTATTACGGTTTAAAAGGTTTATAGGGTTTGGGGTGATAATTATAAGGCCTATAAGGGTTCATGGTGATCCGATGCCTGAGGCTTCGGGGCCCTTGGGATGACAGAACTCGCGTCCCAAGCCGTAGGCTGCGACGACGTCCTGAACCAGGCCGGTTGGGGGACCTCGAGTTTGGCTTTGGTGTTCCTCAAGTGTTGGACCCGCCCAAACCCAAGCCTGAGCAGCGAAACCTTCGCCTGCCCAAATGCATGCTTGTCTGCCAGCTTGGCTCAAGGCTTCCTTGCACGGAACCATTGGAGCTGCCCAGGTGCAGGTACATGCGCCGCTGTCAAGCGCCGTAGGCCCTGTAGCGTTGGGCAGGTGCCTTTCGGGTAATCCCCTCTGTAGTCAAACTGTGGGTGCCTTAGAGATACCCTGTGGCCCCATGTCTTAAGTTGCTTTCCGTCTGCTAGAGACCCTAAGAAACCCTAAGCCATAAACCGAACAGATCGGAAGACGACTGTAGGGAGAGCCTGAAGCTCCTGGCCGAGCTCCGCCTTGGAGCGAACCTTTGCGTCCAGGGAAGTTATCCCCCTTGAAAGCGGATGGGCAGCGAGCCCTCCCCGGATGCTGAAGCCCATCGATGCCCTCTACTGTACGACGATCAAGGCTGCGGGCAAGAACTGGCAGCTGGCCCTTCTCCTGTGACTTGGCAGAGTCAGTGGGCGCAAGCCGAAAGGACAGCCTGTTTTACTGGCAGCAGGCCTTTGGCTCAGAAGCCTCGGCTTCCCCCCCCGTTACCTCTTACGCTGGCTCCTTAGTCCTTCGTACCCCAACTCATGGTCCGGACCTTTTCGAGGGAAGGAGCCCAAGAAGCCCAAGGAGCCCGACAAACCCATTCAGAGAGCTACCCTTTTTAAGGTTCAGGGTTTTTGAGGGCTTTAGGCGTTTTAAAGGTGTTAAAGGTCTCAAGGGTTTTAGGGGTTTAGGGCAGTTGAGGGTTTACAGGGCTTGATTCAGAGAACCCTTGAGGTTCCTGGAGGTGGGAGAGCGCCAGCTGCCGTACGATGTGCTGTCCTTCGGGGCCGCCGTCAAGGCCTCTCAGAAAAAAGATATCAGCGGCCGAAAAAGGGTTTTAGGATCGGGCTCTGGCCCTTGTAAACCCGCAAGCCTATCGGGCTCTAGGATCTTAGGATCTTCGGGTTTTTTGGGGAGGTTTGCGCCTCTGCCGGGCGTTGGCAGCTGGCGCTGTGGCTTCTGTGACTTGGCGCAGAAGGGCAGTGATGTAGTGGCTTAGGGCAGGTAGGCCTTTATTCTGTTTCCGGATGTGGGTTTCTAGCCAGCAATTGAGAGCTCCCAGCGGAAGGATCTTAGAAAGGCATGCTTGCCTAAGCCGATGTCGTGGATGTTCAGGACGCAGATGACAGAAGAGCAGCTCCGAGGAAATGCCATCGTGTGCCTCAGCTTTGCACCTTTTCAGGGCTTAGCCGAGACCCGCAACCCTAACGTCGGGGTGATGCATGTCAGGGGCATCTAGAGAACATGTCTGCCCCGGGTTCGAGAGGGAGTCAGAAGCACAAGTGTGCTTTTAGAGCCGGTTGGCTTCCCGAAGCACTACTGGAATCCTTGTCCACAGCTGCTCAGAGGTGCAGCGCAGCCATCACAGCCTGCACTCGAGGCCGGGGGGGTCCCTGGCCACCGGCTTCTTACCATCACACCTCGGAAGCCAGGCGAACACTGGCCGGATGCTGTGGCTCTCTTCGAGGGGATGAAGAGCCAGCAGGCGGCCCCTGCTCCTGTGCGATCGCAATGCCTCTGTCGTCATCTGCTGGATTCTCAAATTCTCCGACTTCCTCGCGTTTTGCCTTCCTGTCCATTTCTTACTTCTTGCCTCTGCCATGGCGCAGGTACAGAGCGACATCGTTGCTTGCAATGCGGCCATGGCGGCTTTCGGGTGCCTTCGACAGGAGTAAGGGAACGGTGGAGCGTATGGAGTTTTTGCAGCGTTCTGAATATGCAGTAGGGTTCATATCAAAGTTTTGTTGAATGTACAAAGGTCTCTTGGACGGTGCACGTATGTGTTTTCTGAGGATACTGAGTAAGAGCAACCCTACTTCAATTGAGGGTGTTCAGGTTTTAAACCCTAAACCCTAACACCTAAACCCTAAGCCCTAAGCCCTAAGCCCTATAAACCCTAAGACCAGGGCTGGTGGCTGCTGGCTGCACTCCTTACAAATGCTGTCTGGGGCGGCGAGCAGCCACAGCTTCGGGACCGCTATCAGCGCCCCGGTTGATCTGATTGCAGGGGTACTTAGCTTCTTCTTCTTCTTCTTATTATTTTTTGTTTATGGTTATTATTATTATTATTATAGCTTTCGCCCTGGCCCAGGCGCCTGCCAAGGTGCCACGCAGTGGGAGGCTGCACTGCATCTGCTCCCTTCGGCTGAGACGCGAAGTGAGCCGACGCTCGGAGCCAGATCTTCGCGCAAGAGATGCCTTCAAGCAATTGACAGGTTTAGGGTTTAGGGTTTAGGGCTTAGGGTTTACTCCGATGTCCCTTACGAGACGCAAGGATCTGCCGTCCCGTTGCAGTGCTGGTAGCGTGCTTGCGTTCGATTTTCTTAACCAGGCAGCAAGACAGCCCAGGCCCCGAGCAAACGTACAAGAAACGCCATAGGAATTTCTCTTTGCGGCTACTGAAATTGCCTTTCCAGGAATGCCTTCATGTACAGCGCGGCCATCAGCTCCTGCGCGAAAGGCACGGCCTGGCAACTGGCGATTTGGTTGCCGCCAGGTCGCAGGTCTCGGGGTTCGGTTGGGTTCGGTTGCAGAAAACTTTACAGCGCCCTAGATCGTCAGAGTGGTTTAGGCAAAAGGAAACGGAAGAGTGCGAGCTGCATCGGCATTCCGCCGCCAAGGGTTTGGTGAGTTGTTCAGAAAGCCAGAAGTGTTCAAATCACGTTTTTCCCAGTATGGCCAGGCTGTAGGCAAGGTCTTGGTACATGTTTAGTCCGACACACGTAATTAGGGCGGAGCCCCAAACCCTTCCAGCAAACCTACAGGCTGTCAGAGATGCAGCTTTCGAGGCCAGATGCATGTGTTGTTAGGGCTTCCCACAAGAGGCCCCAAGCCCCTAACCCTGGCGTGCAGCAGCTTTCAAGGGGGCGACGTGAGCGGAGGAAAGCCCCACGACCTGAGACCCAAAGCCCTATGACCTGGGCCCCAGAGCCCCAAACAGTCAACTCGGTTCAGCTGCAGAAGTGTGCTCGGGGAGTGCCTCCTAAAACCTACAATCCATGCCGGTAGTTTGGGGAAGGAGTTTGGGGTGGGGGCGGGTCAACCCGAGCCTCGCAGGCTGAAGAGCAGCCTCGTAGCGCACAATGCGGCCCTTGCTGCATGTGTCCCGACTTCCGAGCAGCTGCTGTGTTTGGGAGTGCTGGATTTAGGTTCTAGGCAAGGTAGGATCCCAACAGAACAAAGGGAGCAAGCAAAAGCCTCAAGGTGAGCATGACGGCCAATGGCAGCGTGCTCTGTTTTTCCTGGATGCCATCCAACATGAGCAGCTGCGGAGCAACATCATTACCCATTCCTCCGCCATCAACGCGTGTGCCAAATGTGGGCAGTGGCAAGAGGCCCTGCGCTTGTTTGCAGACCTGCCACGGCTCCGAATTTCTTCGAACATCGTGGCCTATGGTGCGGTCTCTTGGCTGTCCAAGCAGCTCGTGTAATCGGGAAGTCCTTAGCACGCAACTGCGATTTAGGATAGTTCGAGGCTTACAGCTCCCAACACTCAAAACTAAGACCCCCAGACCTTGAAACCCTAGGAAGTTTCAGGTTGTGGCAGCCTGCTCCGAAGTCTCCGAGTGGAAGCAAGCACTGGCCATGCTCGGGCAGCTGGAGACACAGGCCCTGCGGATGAATTCGGTCGTGTGCAACGTGGCTCGGAGCATTTAGGTTCCAAAACCTAAAAACCCCCGATCCCTCAACAACCTTCAACAACAACCCTACACTGTTTTATACAAACCTGACCCAGGCGGCTATCAGTGCATGTGAAAGAGCTGGGAGGTGGCAAGAGGCCATCAGCCTGTTCGAGGCTATGGAAGCAAGGCTCGCAACACCCTTGATGTTTCCAGGGTTGCAGGAGTTGGGCTTGGCAGTTCCTTTTGGCAAACTCCGCCCGCCGATGCTCTGGGCGCGAGGTACTCCCTTTGAGACGCCCGTAAACACAGCCTAATCTTGAAGCCTCCCAGCCTTCAGCCCACTCCTCGGCATCGGAGAGGCGTCTGGCGCCAGATCGGTTTAGCGGCAGCAGCGTTGCAGCCGCCTTGGTGGCGTCGGGGAAAGGGCGCGACCCTGAGAGACTCATGACGGTGCTGGTGGGGAGCATTGGAATGTTGAGCTAGGTTTGCCCATGTCATGATCTGTGGCCAGATGCTACAGCGCTACAGCTTGTTGCAGGTTCAGGGTTTTAGGGTTCAGAGTTCGGGGCTCGAGCAGAATTGGGTGCCAGCGGCCAGATGCACAGAGCATTCCATGATATTCCATGCAAGTTCAGAATGCAGGGTGCACGATCGTTTCTGAAGCCCGAGTTTTCAACAACCGACTCAAGAGCCCCAACGATGTATACCTCGAAGGATGAAGAGTTTGGCAGTTAAGCACGAAGCTTTTACCAAAAGAAACAGTCCACCAACTCCAAGCCTCAGAACAACGAGGCCCAATGCCTTGTCGGCTCAGATTTCGTGCAAACTCCCTGCTCAGCAAGGCTGGAGACGCATCACTTGCTTTCCCAGTTGGAGGAGCGCGCCGTGCAAAACGAGGCGATGGAGAGCAGGGTCCATGCACATGGGTCTGTAGTTCTGAGTAGGATGATGAGTAAACCGAGCAAACGACGCTCCCCAGTGTTCATCACCAAGTATGGGGCGGGCGGCGCCTCAGCCCTCAACCCTCAAGAAGGCTGGACCAGGCAATTTCCCGATCAACTTAGCATTGAGGAGACGCTATGACCAAGTTCCAAACAACGTGCTCTCCTATTCTCCGGAGTCCTCTGCAACCTGAGCTGCGCAAACGCTCACTGACGCACAGTTCTGCGTCTCAGCAGATTTTGGGCTCTCTCATGCGTGAGGTGATCACCTACAGCGGGCTGGTCAACGCCTGCTCGAAACGACAGGACCTCTTTTGAGCACACTCAGTAGATGCAGTGTGGTTCGGCAGGATCCACGGGCGGGTTTGTGTGATGTTGGTCATTTTAACGCTACGCGACCCGCCTCGGCCTGGCCCAGCCAGCGCTGCACCTGTGCCAGCGTCATTCCTGGTGGGGGGGGGGGGTGGGGGGGGGGGGGGGGGGGGTGGGGGGGGGGTGGGGGGTTGGCCAGGAGGCAGTACGCAAGTGGTCCGGTGGACGGCCCAAGGCCTCGGCGGATTACTCGAGATCCGCGTGTGGTGGTCTGGCAAGTGCTGTTCTGCCCCATCTGGCCATATGGAGGAGTGGCAGTCGGCATTGTCGTGGCTGCTTTTGGTGGGCAGCAAAGGCTTCTGCTTCAATACCATTGCAGCCTGGACCTTACCCAGACCCTGAGACGTGCCAGACAGAATCTGCTCCGACTCTGGGTCAGAGAGGCTTCGCTTCATGCTGGAACGTGCCGGAGCCAGTTCAATGGGGTAGGAAGCAGCTAGCTAGCAAAGAAGCTTCATGCAGATGCCCTCCATCTATGAATGTATGCTGTTTTTCGAGGTCAATGCCGCCATCTCCGCTTGTTGCAGCCTTCGCTGGGAGTGGCCGGGCTGCGAGGTCTCTGACTTGTAGCATCCAAGGAAGGGCATGGAGTCACGTGGGCAGACCATGAATTTGGTTTCCTCTCCCAGGTGGGCGCTGCTACTCCTCACCGAGGCTGCTTGCACGAAGGCCTCGAGCCGCAGCTGCACATCCGTTCATGATCAGCGATCACCACGAGAGTGCAATGTGTGTTGCTGGTTGCGTGGTATCGCGTGGTCGTGCACTGTCGTGCACTGCAGCCATTTGGTGTCAGCAGCTAGGAGTACAGCTGAAAGCCGTCTTTTGCACAGAGCCGCTTGGTCGAAATGCTCGCCCCAGCATTCTCCTTTGCGGCCTCGACTCCAGTCGCTCGAAGCCTGCAAGCGCAGAGCTTGGCGGAACCCGCAAAGCAATCTGCGCCTGGCAGCGCCCAACAGCCTGGAGCAACCCCGTCTTTCCTGGCGATGGCTGGGATCGCCGGCTTGGCAGGCCTGGCCCAGCGCACGAAGGCCACCAAGGCCACCAAGGCCAAGTTGACGGCTCGCAGATTCTCCTTTCAGATGCCCCAGATGCCCTTCATGCCACCACCGGACAAGAAGACCGTGATCATTACCGGAGCCTCGTCTGGCCTTGGCCTGGCTGCAGCTAAGGAGCTGGCAGCAACGGGGGAGTGGTATGTCATCATGGCCTGCCGGGACTTCCAGAAGGCCGAGAAGGCAGCCAAGGAAGCGGGCATGTTTGCAGATTCCTATGAGGTGCTCCACTGCGACCTGGCCTCCAACCGCAGCGTTCGTCACTTTGTGGAGGGATTCCACGCTTTGAACAGGCCCCTGGATGCACTTGTGTGCAATGCGGCCGTGTACTTCCCCAATGCGCACAAGCCGGGAATCTTCCTCCCGGGCCTTTTCGCAGGAGAGGGCCCTCGATATTCTGCCGATGGCCATGAGCTCAGCTTCGCGGCGAACTACCTCGGACACTTTCTGCTGTGCAACCTGCTTCTCGAAGACCTGAAGCGCAGCACGGTCAAGCCCGCACGGTGCGTTATCCTGGGCACAGTCACAGCGACCGTGAATGGCGCGGAGTTGGGAGGAATGATCCCTCCGCTCGCGCATGTTGGGAACTTCGAGGGGCTGGAAAAGGGCATGAAGGCACCCGTGTCCATGCTTGATGCGCATGAGTTCAATGGTGCCAAAGCCTACAAGGACAGCAAGGTCTGTGATGTGATGCTCATGAAGGAGTTGCACCGCCGGTATCATGACCAGACGGGCATCGTCTTTACCTCCCTCTACCCAGGATGCATCGCAGAGACTGGGCTCTTCAGGGAGCACTACCCACTGTTCCAGCATCTCTTCCCGGCCTTCCACAAGTCCGTCACCCGCGCCTACGTCAGCCAAGAGGAGGCAGGCAAGCGCCTGGCAGCATGTGCTCCCTGCATATGAAATGTTATGTTGTTTTCTATTTTTCTATATTGTATTCCTGTGTAGGGCTTTGGTTCCCTAGTGTGTGGGGGGTCACACGTTGCTTCTTTGGGGTCTTCAAGCAAGCAGAGGCTTACCCCAGACCTCACACACCACCAAACCCCTAAGGTGGGGTTAGGGGAGTTCTTCGGATTTTGTTTTGTGCTTTGGGGTTTGGTGTTGTGTTGGGAGGTGCTTTGGTTTTGGAATTCTATTTGGAATTTCGGCGTGGGATTTGGGAGGTGCTTTGTGTTTTTTTTGGATCGTGTCATGGAGCATGGGGTTAGCTTGTCGGGTGTGCTTTGTGCATTGTGGGTTTGGAAGGGTTGATTTAGCAGGCGGGTTGAGAAATGGGGTGAAAGCGTACGGGTGGGGGTGGGGTCGGGAAATGAGTGTGCGGTCTGGGGCCAGCCACTGCTTTCGCCCTTAAGTGGAGAGAGCGGACCGCGTGCTGAGAGAGTTCACACCGAGGTTGCGGATGAGCGGTATGCGACCTCCGGCTCCTACTACAGCTGGGGAGGTGAGGCAGGAACGGGAGGAAGTGGAGGCAAGGATGCGGTGGAGAACAAGGACAAAGAGCTGGACTGGTTCATGAACTATGGCAGCTTCCGCACACTTTCCGTCGACGAGATCGGGGGAGAGGCTGCTGATGACGCCCGATGCCAGAAGTTGTGGGATCTCAGTGAGAGGCTTGTGCAGACCAGATAGGAGCTGCTTGGAGAAAATGAGAAGATGTGGATGCAGGTGTCGATGCTTGCCATACGACGCCTGAACATCAACACATCCCCCTTTTTAATGTCTGAATTCGGTGCCAAAACCACGTTTCCGAGCTTCGGCTTGTTTCAAGATTGGGAGCTCGGCCGCCCCCCGTGAGCGGCCGGCCTCCTTGGCGTGTGGCCTGTGGCCGCTTTCTGCCTCTGCGCAGCGCCGCCGTTTCAAGTGGTTTTTGAAGCTCGGCCCGGCTACGGCCATGGCCTCCAGTCACCTGCAACTGTGTGTTCGAGGTCTGTATACCCCACTACCAGTAGCACTATTATATGTGAAGTGCCCCGAAGCCTTCCGGATGCAGGTGCTGTGCACATCTTTGCACCCTGCAGCAGTGCATGCAGGCATTGCCTGTCTCGCGCCTGCTGCTTTTGCGCCACAGTATTTGATTCATAAACTCCAGCCGTAGGCGCTCGCAACGAGCAAAAGGCCATGAGTGAAGACGTTCGTCCATGCACTGCTGGAACCTGACCAAACTTAGTGAGAATCTCTTCGGCCCTTTACTAACATACAAGTTTCCTCCTTGCCATAGCCGCAGCTGCAGCCTTAATGGCTGCAGCCTTAATGGCTGTGTTTTGGTGGCTCGTCTCGTGACTTGGCCCAGGCAGAGGGCTTGGCATTAGGCCACGCCCTCGGCAGCCTGCGGGACGTCGGCCACTGGCAGCGAGGCAGATGTCGGGTTCTTGTGCAGAAGCTGGCCATGTAGGTTCCGCATCAGCAGAGAAGGTGATGGTGGGAACTCGTGCGCACAGCCTTGGAGTTTGACCCCTCTGTTCTATTCCGTGCTTGGTCAACACACGTTTCGGGTTTTCGGGGCTAGGGTTGGACACAGTTTCATGTCTTGGAGTCTACGACTTTCACGGTTTTGGCTCTTGGCGAGATATTGCCCCTGTTGTGACGCTTGGGTTCAGGCTGCCATTTGGTGCAGGAGCCCGCGTTTGTGCCGTTGTAGGGGGTGAGGGCTTCGCAGAAGCGGCTTGAGAGGATGATCTGAAACCTGGAAGTGCGTGCCCTTGCGTGCTTCGAGGTGCATGGAGAGCTCCAAGTGGGGTCAAAAATGGCAAGACATCAGTCGACATGAGTGCTTCTGTCCTTACTTGGGGGTCCTGGGCCCCGAATTCCACCGAAGTCCTGAACCCTAAGCCCCACACCCTGAACCCTAAACCCTAAACCCCAAACCCTAAACCCTAAACCCCCTGAACCTTGAAGACCCCTACGCCCTCGAAAAGAAACTCGAGGAGCTGCAGTCCCAGCGCACCCTCCTGACTGCTGAGGAGCAGTCCACGGCCCCCTGGCATAGCTACCTCTCTTCAGGGTTTAGGGTTTGGGGTTTAGGGTTTAGGGTTCAGGGTCTAGGGTTCAGGGTTTAGGGTTTAGGGTTCAGGGTTTAGGGTTCAGGGTTGGGGCCTTAGGGTTCAGGATTCAGGGTTTAGGTTGGGTTGAGGGCATAGCGTCGTTGCAGGGCTAGGACCCATCAGCTGCTATGTGTTTTTTCTTCTGGTGCTGCCTTCGCCTTGTACTCGATAAGATATATTATATGCCCCTTTCAAGAGAAAGAGGCATCCCTTTTTATATTTTGCATTCCTAGGTTTATTTGGGGCCCAGTAGAGGTTCTTCATGACATCGCACGTCGTGTCTAAGGGTCGGAGGTTGTCTCGGCGAAGGCGTGCCAGTCATAGACGGATCATACAAGACGCGATCCCAGGGAGCCCAAGATTCCGGCTGTAAGGGGTATACAGGCTGGTTTTAAAATTCGGACTTCTATATGACTATATGGTTCCATCAAGGTATTTTGGGTTTCTTCCTTAAGGCTGTGCGGGGCATTGGGCTTCCAGGGTACCGGGCCTGACATGTCAACCGACACAGCAATTGCCCGAACAAGGTCATCTCCATGTACGTGGCTTCGTGAGCACAAGTTCATGACCCCACACTCTGGCGCTTCATTCGCGGATTCTTCAACATGATGCAGGGGCTGTGAAGATCGTGGCCGTTGCATGCAGCATAAACCCGAAGCCTAAAAATAATGGTTTGCCTCCGTGCCTGTCAGTAGACATGTGGCTGCTCGAACAAAGACTTCTGGCAGCAGCCAGTTCTTACTTTGCGGTGGCGTTGCAGCTTGCTTTGCAGCTTCCCACCTTGTGCAGGGGTGCGGTTTACGGGGTTCAGTCTAAGCTTTTTGGGCTCAGGGAGTTGTAGGGTTGAGGGTTGAGGGTTTAGGCCCAAGCTTTGCCGCCCAGTTTTCCATCTGTGAGAGATGCAAGAAAGCCGCCAGTCGGAGCAAAGACAGAAGCCCCGAACCCTTGTTCGCAGGGTGCCAACTTGGAATGGTTGTGGTTTCTCCTATCGCTTAATTCTAGGATCCCCTCCCCCCCTTCCCCCCCCCCCCCCCCCCCCCAAAATTCTAGGATCCCCTCCCCCCCCCCCCCTACGCGCAAGAAATCGTTGAGGGTGGTTGAATTATATGCCTGGCGAAAGGTTTAGGGGTTTGAGGTTCAGGCTCAGGTTGGGTTCTCCATCATCTGAGCTTCGCAATGGCTTCGGTTGGGGCGTTTAGATGTAAACTTTTGCTTTCGCAGTGAGAAATCCTTCGGGTTTAGGAGGGCTCCAGAACCGACATCGTTGGCGATTCTCCTCGAACCGAACACCACACTTCGTACACCCGAAGCCACGAAGCAGCAGAAGGGGTCTTCGTGTCGCGCCTGATTTCCTCAAGCCCCGAAGACCCTACATCACAACCCCCAAACCCTAAGCTCCAGACCCAAAGTCCCAGAGTCCCAGAGTCCCAAAGCCCCTAAACCCTAAACCCTAAACCCTAAACCCTAAACCCTAAACCCCAAGCCCTAAGCCCCAACAAACCCCCAAATTCCCCAACCCCAAGCCCTAAGCCCCAACAAACCCCCAACTTCCCCAACCCCAAGCCCTAAGCCCCAACAAACCTCCAAATCCCCCAGCCCTCAAACCATAGGCTGTGGAGGGCCTAGTCGAGCTCGGTGCCGCCAAGCAGGCCAACAGTCGCCCTGAAGCAGGGTTCAGGGTTTATAGGGCTTTAGGGTATACAGAGTTAAGGGTATTAGGGTTCTGGGTTTACGGTTTTAGGGCGAGCTGAGATTGAAGGATTTTCGTGGGGTTTAAGGACTTAGTGGCTTCGTGGTGGGATTTGGGGGCTTAGTTGTTGCTTTCGGGATTGGACTAATGACCCAGGGTTGCCGAACACCCAGCACAGCACACCCAGAGACATGAGAGACCAAACACCTTGGAAGCCCAAAAGGGTTTAGGGTTAGGGTTTAGGGTTTAGGGTCTAGGGTCTAGGGTCTAGGGTTTAGGGTTTAGGGTTTAGGGTTTAGGGTATAGGGTTTAGGGAAACCTGGCACTCGCCCCGGTCCTAAAGGTTTAGCGTTTAGGGTTTAGGGTTTATCAACCTAGAACTGGTTTGGGGCTTCATTGGGGTAGGTTCGGGTTTCGGGTTTTAGGGTATGGCCGCCCAAGGCTGCCTTAGCACAAAACCCGACACCACACAGGCTTTGCCCAACAGGATCCCCTGAACCTGAAACAATATATATCCCCTAAACCCTGAGCCCTAAACCCTAAACCGTAGAACCTAAGCCCTAAACCCTAAACCCTAAACCCTAAGCCCTAAGCCCTAAGCCCTAAGCCCTAAGCCCTAAGCCCTAAACCCTAAAAACCCTAAACGTATGCTTCGTGGTGGAAGGCTGCGGTGAGCCTGCACTCGGAGATCAAGTTTGTGTTGTGCGGCGTCCTTGGTCGAGATCTATTTTCTTTCTCCCTGCTAGACAGACCGCTGAGGTCTCCGTTGTGTCTCGGCGTGGATAAGATTCGCCTGGACCTTGGACTAAATTCGTGAGGGAGCTCCAAGAACCATGGGAGCCATGCTTCCCGATGCTGGACATGCGATGGGCAGCAATGCTCATTGCAGGCGAGTGACGAGAGAGCTGCACGGCGCGAGGTGGGGGGTTTGCACTGACAGCCCGGCACAGATGTTAACTTGATCCTGTCAGGCGCGCATCTCTGCTTCACGAAGCTTCCAGGAGGGAAAGCTCCGCCAGACGGCGGGGAACTTAACTATCTGCCATGTACATCCGGTTTTCCAAATCAGGGTCTCTTTTCGTGCTCGAAGTTCTTAAGGCTGCAGCTGCTCCAGGGCTTCCCCTCTGTCCCCAATCTAAACTCTGGGCCTCCAAGGGGCCTAGGATTATGGATGTGTAGTACTCCTGTTCTCTTGTTGTTTTGGTTAGGATCCTGTGAGATTGACAAACTGCACCCTTGACACGTTTCACTGCAGGCTCACAAACTGGGAAGCCGCATCGAAAAGCTGGGCAGCAAGCGCTTGCCAGCTGGCCGCAGCTTTCTTGGACGTTCATAGGAGCCATCAGTAGGACGTAGGACCCCGCAGCCCCTGAACCTTTGAGGCCTAATCTCTGAACGCTGAAAGCCCTCAAGCCCCTGAAGCCCCTGAAGCCCTGAGCCCCAAAGCCTTCAGGCTGCAAGAGGCTTTTCTTCAGCTCGGGCCCCGGTTTTGGATGAATGGTAAGGTCAAGGTTAAGGCGGTTTCGGCAAGTCTTGGGATGCCTTGCAGAAGTTTAGCGTTTCGGGTTCAGGGGTCAGGACGGTCAGGGGTCAGAGTTTCTTTGGAGTTTCGGATTGTTTCGCGTTTGAGGGTTTAGGGTGCAATGTGAAAAGCATCTGTTCACACGGCAGCCTTTCCAAGCTGGCCTGCCTGAAGGCCTACTTGGCAAGAAGACCAAGATTGCCCGAAACACGGAAACCCCAAATCCAAGCATTCCCAACGCCCCTGCAAGCGCCCGAAGGTGGCTCCAACAGGCCCAAGACCAAAGCGGCTTGAGGAGGCCCACCCATGGGACTTCAGTAGGGATTTTGCAACTCAGCTATCCTCCAGGGTCTCCTGTACTCCTCCACTTCCCAGCCCCCCGGCCTTCCCAGCCTTACTGAATGCGCGCAGTCATCCTCACACAGATGATCCCTATAGAACCCTCCAGTGACAAGCAAGTTGCTAAGTTCCAGTATTGGCATCCTCTTAGTCGGCATGGAAATCTGAGTTGGGGAGGGGAGGCAGTGTAGGTTCAGTGATCAGGAGCTAAATGACGTTGAGGGTTTCCGAAATAAGGGGTACCTTATTGGGCCCTTGCAAAAAGGACAAGGGTCCCCTTCATTGTGGGTCTAAATTAGGGGTCGCTTGTTTGGATTGGAGAGCTGGGGGGCTTTCGCCGTGGTGCTTCGCGGGCGTAAGGGGCTTGGGGGTTCGGGGACAGAGCTCCTTCAGGGCACCCCTACGCGGTGCGGAGTATGCATGAGCCTGACAGTCTACGGAAAACCCCCGAATCAGAAATCAACCCTAAGACCCTCGAACCCGAAAACCTAGGGGCCCTAAGCAATTCCCTGAAAGGAACCTTGTGAGGTTCCTCATACCCGAATTCCTTGCCAAGACAAACCTTCAACCACCCCAAACCGCGAGCCCTAAACCCTAGACCCCAAACCCTAAACCCGATGTAAACCAACAACAAGTCGAGGAGGAACCAGCTCCTGGCGGCCTCGGCGGAGCAGGTCTGGGCGATGCGCCGGGACCCGAGCAAGGGGCTTTGGGTTTTTTTGGGGTTCAAGGGTTTGAGGGTTTTGGGTTGGGATGTTCCCCCCTAAACTAGCAGTGCTTAGTAGGGATTATACTAGGGGGTACTAGAATCCCTGCTAAGGACTGCTAGTATAAGGCGGAACTTCCCGAGCTTAAGGTTTTTTTGGGTTCAAGGGCTTTGGGTGCTTGCTTTTTTTGAGGGACTGTATGTTTCTGGTGCAGGGCGTTAGACTTTGGTTTAACATAAGAAGCCCTGAGGGCTTTGTATCGGCAGGGTTGCACTTTGGGTTTCAGGATTTAATTTGGGGCTTGGAGGTTTTGTATAGGGCTGCATAGTTATGGCTCTGGCGTTTCGCAGTTTGGTCGGCTTAGGATTTCGGTCTTTGACGCTCATATCTCATGATGGGCCTCCTTAAATGAAGCGGACCGTATGCACTCAGGGAAGGGAAGCCCAGGACCTCTTCATCTTGGGATGTTCTCCCTTATACTGCCAGTCCTTGTAGGGATGATTCTACTAAGGACTGTTAGTATAAGGGGGAACATCCCAATCTTCATTCCCCTTCCTGGGTTGTTCACCACCCTGACATCCAATCCGATCTTGTCTGCCACCAGGTCGGCACAATTGCCTATGCCAATGTCTCTCCTCACGCTAATCATTCATCGTAGAGCTGTCGTCAAGCAACATGCGGGGGTGACCCAGACTCAGGAAGCGCCTTCAGTCATTTTTTGGATCGTCCCCTGATATTCCCCCAGTGGCTGCGGTGAGAAGGCTCCGTAGAGAAGATTGCGTATTCCATCCTGACACAGACAAAGAGGCCCAATCTGGCAGTGTTGGTGGTCACTTTAATAAGACATGGTTTAGCACAGCGTCTTATATGACTATTCTTGATCTTACTATTATTAGTATTAGTATCATCATTATTCTAATTAGTATTAGTATGAGTTTTATGATTATGATTATTATTCTTCTTCTTGCAGCACTGCTGAGGCTCCGACGCGAAGAGGCGGTCCATGCAGCAGGCGCCCTTGTGAAGGTTGTGACAAGGAACTCGTGACAAGGAACTCACGTTGGGCTCTGTGCAGATCGCTTCAAGAGTTGCCAGGCGGAACGCTGGCAACGAGACAACGACAGTATTCTCCTTTACTTCGTCATGGAACGTCTTGCGCCCAATGTGAGGGCAATGAAATGCCTTGACATGTACAGGCTTAAGGATCTTAAGGACTTAGAGCCGTCTGGGTGTTACGGCACAAAGCCCAGAACCGAAGTTATAAGAAATTCGCAAGTCCCTCAACACTCGAAGCCCCCAGACTGAGGCTGGAATGCTTCTGCTGCACAAAGTATGCGACAGAATGCCCAGGGACTGAGGAGCTTCGGTTGCAATGGCACCCTAAGCATTGGAAACATCATTGCTCTTCGGTCTTGAGCTTTGATATTATTGTTGCAAATGTTACAACCCTTTGAGCTATTCCGTTTTTGTCGATCCTGAACACTTAACACAGGCACTGAAGTCCTAAACCCCAAAGTACCTGCTCCATCCTAGATCCCCTAAACGCCCTAGCCCCGCCGTCCTTCGATTGCTGTGCTTTGCGGCGCGTGAGCCAAGGAAGATGGAGGACTGGCAGCTTGTGTTTCTGAGGCTTCCCTCAGGTTTTAGGGCTGAGGTTTGCAGCATTTTATTTTGTTTTTGGCGGGGGGTCTCCACCCTCGAAACAGGTTCTACAAGATGCGAGCAGGATGTGGGGGGTGGAGAGGGATGCCCTGTTGTATGGAGATCATTGTGTTCTCAGCCTCTCGGCCGATTCTCTTCCGCAGCTGCTGCAGCGGTAGACAGGGCGGTCGCTCATGGCACGAAGTATGACCCGTATGCAGGATGGGATGCTAGACGATCCGCAAGTCCACCGTTAGACCAAGACGACTCTTGATGAGATCGGTACAAATGCAACGACTTCCGGACCTTTCAAGCTTCGAAGGGTTTAGGGTTTAAGGGTTCAGGGTGTCGCTATGCGCCATCCTACCGCCCTCGGTCCCGCTTCTGTCGCACAAAGCGAGAGTCGAGGTTCATCAGCTTCAAAATGCCTAGCCCTTGAGCCCCGAAAACTCTCGGATACCCACCCTTTCCAGAACCCCCCCCCCCCCCGAACACCCAGGAAGCCAAACCTCCCACACGCCAAGCCTCTTACACGCTGATTCTTCAGCTGTCTTGGGCTCCTTATGATCGCCATGGTCCGCGCCAAGCTACGCCGGTCTGCGCTGGGCCTGGCCCGGTCCTCCGTTTCCTGCCGCCCCCTGCCTTCTTTTGGGGGATTAGGGGCTGCCGGGGCTTGGGAGCTTTACAGGCTTGACATTGGGAGCTATGCCCGAGGCCGTTGTTGTTAACTACTGTGAATGTGTGTGACGTTATATGCACAGACATGCAGACATGCTCAAGTATGAAATCGTAGGTACGCAGGACACGAAAAGACGGACAACCAAGTAAAGCTGGAACCTGCCCCTTCGGTACTGATGTCTTCAGAGTTTTGGAGGGGTTTAGGGCTTAAAGCCCCAAACCCGAAAGCTGCATATCACCTTTTGACGCTGAGGATCGCAAAGCCTCTGGCGGTGGCGCTTCCACTTGGCGTGTGCAGGCCCAGGGTTCATAGTCAGGGCTTCGCGCGGGATTGGGCAGGTGCAGGGTTCTAAGATATTTGGGCTTCAGAAAGTTGGGGTTTGCGGTCCAGGACGTAGGGTTACCCCAATTAGGGTTACGGCTGTGGGTTTCGGGATGTCTGGGTGTTGTGAGGTGGGCCTTCAGGTCTAGAGTCTAGAGTTTGCCGATGGGATGTTTTTTCTGGGTTGAGGCTTTAAAGGCTTCTGAGTGCGTGGAAGTACCCTATGATAGAGCGGAGAAGCTCTGCCGTTTTTTGTCGCTTGATTTCGGATGTGCCGGGTCGTGGAGGATGAGTTTGCCTGACTTGATGGACACTATGGCTTCCTGTAACAGGGATTGTAACCTGACACCCTACACCTGTGTGTTCGCCTACAGGGCCTGAGCTTTCCTGTAGGACACTGAATATTATCGGGCCCATCCAAGCAAGTGGCACCCCGGACCCCGGATCTTGAGACGGCAGGCAGCAAGCAGTGCTGGACCACCTGACAAGAAGTACAGCAAGGGTCATGATCTTCAGAGCAGCCTGTGTTTTCCCAACGCCTTATAGGGCCCCAAAGCCCCCAAAGCCAGGGAAGTGGGGTTGCGTCCTTGGTTGCGGAACAGGCTTTTGCTCCTTCTTGGTGCCCCTACGCTGCTCCGACGGCGCACGAAGGCAAGGCATGGTTGGGAGATCTCGAGGTTCGACGCTAGCAGAGGTAGCCGCGCCTTGTAATTCGCGGAGGTCAGACCCTTGTTTTAGTATCTGCGCTGTGTGTCATCCTCGTCCTCATCATCGTCCTCAGCGGCTAAGCTGAATTCTGGTAAGGTAGAACTACACTAAAAGAAGGCATTGAGCATCCATGCCCCCCAGCCACCCTCATTCAAAACCGACATGCCTGGCATGTCAAGCAGGACCTTCTTCACAGCAGCTCCGTTTCAGGCGCGAGCCCGAAATCCAGGCTTCTTGGCAACGGAGTATAGGATTGTGCTTGTTGTTAGAGAAGGGTTGGGCAAATAAGGCGGTAATGAGAGCCTTACGCGGCATAATTGTGAAAGCGGCCCAGTTACTACAGAACATGTCGTCAACCATGCGACCACTGGACTGCCCTGTCTGAGGCTCTGCGCCCACAGCGCGACGCTTGGTCAACGAAGCAGGCTTCGAGGCCCTGGGCATGAAAGCACGGGCCACCACCCCAAACAAGCTGAGGGTTCGGCTTGGACTTCCCCACAATCCTTTGATCCCAAGGCCCAATATAGCTTATTCTGCTCACCATGAGCCACAAAGCGTCCCAGATCAAGTGCTCAGCCACCATCTGCGAACTCCCGGTTCCCAAAAGACCTCCCCGACCTTCAATCCCAGGATTTAGCTTCTTCCCCCAAGACCCTCTTTGGGTGCCTGTGCTAGTAATTAGGGTACCCCCCCCCCTCCAATTTTGAACCCTCAACCTTGAAGAAACCCCACCACCCTGAAAACTGCCAGGTGGGTGTCATGATGTCTCCCGAAGAAGCAGACCGACTGGGTCTCAAACCTTTCGGAGATGGCGGGGCTGAGAACGAGACGTCGCCGTGCCGGGGCTAACAGCGGAGTCCAGCCTGTTGGGTTTAGGATTTATCGGGCTTAGGGCCAGGGGTTTAGGCTATTTGGGTATTTTAGGTTGGTATTTCCAGGGTGTTTTTGGGGGTTTTTGTGGTTTGGGGTTTGCTTTGGGCTTGGAGGGTTTGGACGTGTCGGGTTCGAGCTTTCTTTAGGGTTTTGAGGCTTCGAAAACCCTCAAACTCTCAACCAACCTGATTCCTTGGGATGTTCCCCTTCTACTAACAGTCCTTAACAGGGATCATAGTACCCCCTTACTATACTCCCCAAAAAAGGGCTGTTGGCAGAAGGGGGAACGTCCCAACTGCCTCCCGTCAAGCCGAGGCGGCGGCCGAAATTCTACACGCACGGCCCCTGCCGCTCTCCTGCGGCCTCTCAGTTTGTTGTGCCTCTCGGCTGCTTCTAGGAGCACATGCCTCGCAGCCTAGACGAGATATAAGTATAGGGTGAAAAGTAGGGTAGCTATACTTATAGCTTTATTAAGGATACGTATAGCCCTACTTCTAACTACCCATGAACCTCCAAGCAGTCTGCAGGTAAGAAAGCCCGGAATTGCGCGACGCGGGCTTTCTTCAGGTCCTGCGCGGGCTTCGACGATGCAGACGAGGCCGAGCAGCGAAGAATCGCTGCCGAGGCGACGGAGAAGATGAGGAGCAACGGCTTCGCCACTTGGTGGGGTTTAGGGTTTAGGGTTTCGGGTTTGGGGTTTAGGATTTCGGGTTTAGGGTTCAGGGTTTAGGGTTTAGGGATCTGAGGAGCAACGGCTTCGCCGCTTGGTGGGGTTCTTGCTGAGAAGGGGGAATGTTCATTTTCAGTTCTTTCTTCCCAAAATCGTGGTCCCCAAATCCTCTTCCTAAATCCTATGCATTTGCATTAGGACTTCGCAAATAAGATTTAAGCCCTGCCCGGGGGGGGGGGGAACTAAGAACTCCGCTTAGGATTTAGGGATCCGTTTGTCTTAAGACCTTCAGAACAGGATTGAGGGACTAAGATTTGGAATCTCATCGTTGGCCAATATGATTTTGCCTTCGTAATGTCGGGACTTTCCCCTTGAGCAAGGAAGCGAAAAAAGCAAAGTCTTCTGTTTAGCCTTTGGAGAACTTAAAGGTTGAAGTTTGCAGATGCCGATGTGCGCATACCGATCGTTGACCTTTTTTTTTAGGGCCCAAGACGCCAATTTCAGGATTAAAATTCTTAAGATTCTCAAGAAGAGAATTGAAGATTGAAGACTGAAGATTCTTGGGAAACTCTTGGGAGAATTCTTCGATTTTCATCTTGGGCGCCTGTCGCGTACTAAGGTTCTTTCGACCCAATAACTTCAAGACGATAATTGAAGGCACTCTTGGGCAGTGCCCCATGAAGCTTAATCTTCAGTTTCAAGATTAAATTCTTGAGATTCTTAGGTTTCTTGGGAGGTTTTTAGTTCTTGGGTGGAAGCTGTCTAAAACACATGAAGCTTGGGGGTACCCTAATCTGTTATGTATATGTACAACATGAAGTATTATGTTTTGATATTATACAGATATTATGCTAGCCCTAAACCCTCGGCCTAAGTGTGAGATCCCGCTCAGCATCTTAAGGTGGTGCTCGAGAGCCTCTTCCCACGGGAGTGGGTCACCAAGCTCGAGGCAGAGGCCGCTTCGTCCGGGCCCTCAGATTTGGTTTTAAGAGGTCCCAGGATTCGGGGTTTTTGCAGGGTTTTTGCAGGGTTTCTGGGTTGTGTAGCGATTTGCTTGCTGTACTCGATAATATCGAGTACTCTATATTATAGAGGCTACAGCCGGCTTGGGTCTGCCCTGATTGTGTCGTGTGGCCGCACTTGCTCTTTGTGTGTGAGTGTGTGTGTGTGTGTGTGTGTGTGTGTGTTTTTTGCCCGTATGTGGGGCCTGCCAGCAAAGAGACAGGAGCCTCGCGCAGAATCAAGACTAGTCTGTGTAGTTTCATCTTGAGAAAGAGCTTTTGGAATGCTACTTGAGGCTGCTTGAAACAGTCTAAGCCGCAAGCACCAGGGCCAAACAACCCATTCCCTTGTACCTAGCCCGAGCTCCAAACTCCTCAAGTCTTGCACGGGAGGTTGTCTAAATTATGGCCCTTTGGCGTTCCTGTAAATATACGGAGCCGCGGAACCACGTTTATGTATGTATGTATGTATGTATGTATGTATGTATGTATGTATGTATGTATGTATGTATGTATGTATGTATGTATGTGTATACATACACACAAAAAATTTGTGGAGGGTGACAAGCAGAGGGAAATTGACACCAACGCGCGTAGAGGTAATTATGTGTTCGTCTGGGGCTAATAGAAAACATTTAACCCGGAACAAACCCGCCCTGACCCTTACAACCCTTAACCCCCATAAACCCCATGAACCCTATCGTTGCCCTGTTTTTTGTTGAATCCTAAAACTCTAGACCTCAAACACTAAACAGACTAACCCTTGACCCTATATAAACCCATGAACCCTAAAAACCCTCTAGACTCTAAACCCTTGATTTCGATGAGCCCGACAAGCGTTGTAAACCCTAAGCCTTGAGGTTTCTAGACCTGCCCCAGCCGGGCTTGGTCCCACAGCCACTGCGAGCCGGCCGAACTGCCCCACGGCTCGAAAGGGTTTTGGGTTGAAATGCCGAACCCTAACCCCCAAGCCCTAAGCCTAAAACCCAAAACCCCTAGAATTTGGATAGAATTTGGAGTTCAGGATTGTTCTTGAGGAGTTGGGGGTTGGTGGGGTTGGGGGGGGGGGGGGGGGGGGGGGCGTTATTCTGGGGGCATTGGCTTGTGAGCCTGTGCTTTACGGGCTTGTGCGTCTCGGGTGTGGTGGAAGTGTCAGTCTTGGCATCTCAGTTTAGGGTCGGGGTTCAGGATACTTTCTTGAAATGCTCTGAGCTCTTGCAAAACAGGTTCTGGAGGTTGCCTGAAATGACTGGCAAACCTCCCTCCGCAGCATCGCCAGCACCCTACACCCTAAAGGCCCGAAACCCTACACTCTAAACCCTGAACCCTAAACCCTAAAGGCCCGAAACCCTACACCCTAAACCCTGAACCCTAAACCCCAAACCCCAAGAGGAGGGTCATCTCTCCTTCACGGCTCCATGGGCCAGCGACTGGCTGCTGACTCTCGGCGCAGAGAAGAAAAACATCTAGCGCTTCGGACTTAGGTTTGGGGACTTTTTTTGCAGATTCCAAGGGTAATGTAGGGGCCATATTAGGAGTATATGAAGGGAAACCTTTAAGGGTACAACCTTAGAACGACCAGTCCTGCCAGCACAGGGTACGGAACCTCCGAGTACCAATGACCAAACCTTAAGAAGTCAGCCCCGAACCCTGACCCTGACTCCTTCCATGCGCAATCCCGTAGATATGCCTGCATGATGGGGAACCCCCCTCAGTTCTCATCCCCAACATTCTCAACCTTCTTCCTCCATGCCATGCAAACACACTGAGGAGGAACGAGCTCGTCCTGGAGGTTCGGACGGGTCGGTCTCAGCGCTGAGGTTAAGGGCCTTGGGTGTTAGTAGTTACTTTGCTTCGGGGCTTGGGGCGTTGAGGCGGATGTAAGGTGGAAGTAGCATAGCTTGCCCAAGCATAGTTGTACGGAAGTACATATCAGGGAGGGGAGGGGCTGCGCAGCGGGGGAATCGCACTTTGGGATCTGCTGCCAGCAGTCCTTTGGGTTGTGGCAGAAAGTGCCTCAAGCGTCAGCGTCCGCCAGAGCTCGTGAGTGAGTGCATTGAGAGCGACATGCTACGCCCACACTGGGGCTTAGCCTGTTTTGATGCAAATTCTAGTCGCTGATGTGAAATTCTCCACAGGAGCGTCCAAGGTGTGATGTGCTCCAAAAATTTTACCCTCAGCCCCTAAGCCGCACCCCCCACAAGGTGGTCGCCGGCTACATGAATAACAATCTAGCAGCAGGCCGCACTCAGGACTCTTGGACTGCAGGGAGGGTGTAGGGGCACGGTCGGACCTGGAAAGCCGAGCTTCAAACTACCTGAATATCTCAGCTGACCCAGCCAAACCCCTGAAGCCCTCGGCCATCTTAGGTCCTAAATCCTACAGCCGCAGCTCGAACGCCCGCTCCCTTCCTTCCCACCAAAACATCAGGAGCCCTAAAGCCGCAAACCCTGCAGCCCCCCTCTTAAGGATGAGCAGCAGTGGGGCCTGGTTCAGTGGCTCACCTCCGGGGCCTCCCTCGACTGGTTCTCGTCCCTTGGCCTCAACCCTCCTGAGGCCTCAGCTTGGTTGCGGGTTCAGGGTTTAGGGTTTCGGCCGTTGGCGGTTGATTGGGGCTGAGGAGGGTTGAAGGTTTGGGTTGTAGGGGATTCTTGAGGGTTGATATGGGGTTTCAAAAGGGGTCTGAGGCTGAGGGTTGGGTCCTCACCAGCACTTCTTGAGCAACCAGGACCCCAACCCCAAAGCCCAAACTCCCTACAGCCCTACATCCCAATTCCTGAAGCCCCTCAGCGCAACCCCCAAAAAGCCCCAAATCCCCAAAAAATCCTGAAGCATGAGGATGCCTGAGTGGGGCCCGAAGGCCGGGCACTTGCTGGAGAAGCCCCCGCCAGGGTGCAGCGACGTAGGCGGGAACGGGGTTTCAGGAAGATGGGGGCTTGGGGGTTCTGGATTTAGAGGTCACGGCTGTCAGCTAGGGCGGGTTTGGGTGCAGTGTTTCGGGTTTTTAGGGTCAGGTTTCAGGGATCATCGCGCTCCGGCTATGTCGGGGTGACGCGTGGAAGCACGATGTCGCGAAATGTTGCTTACGGGGGCTGGGTTTGGGGTGGGGGAACAAATCATATTGTCAACGGTGGAAGTGCCCTTGACATAGGATACACATTTTTCGAAGGTAAGGGACCAAGAGTTCATTCAGGCTTTAGCCGCAGCCTGTGGGTGGAAGCTTTTGGCCACCATCTGCCTGGACCACCTTGCAAGTCCTACTGTGCCCTTCGGAAGCTTAGGGGTACATCTTCCCCTTTGGGTTCTGGAGTTCTCGTTGGACCTACACAGTTGCAAAGGGGTATTACTCTACTCTGGTTTATGGGTAACAGCTTAACAGTGAAACCCTAAACTCAAAGCCTTGACCGAATTGGCAGTTCCCTGTCAACCCTCAACCCTAAGGTGTAAAGTCGAAGCCCTGAATCCTAAACTCTCCAAAGTCCCAGACCACACCCAGAAGCCTTGCATGGCAGTGGCCCCGATGAGGTACCCATGGGGACATCGGCCCCTTCTTTGGCCGAATATCGCTCATCCGAACACCACCAGGTTCCATGCAGAGGGAGGGGGTTTAAGGGCTTTTTTCAGAAGGTTTGGGGGGCTGCGGGGGGAGGGGGTGGGGGGGGGTGGCTGGGTTGTTGTTGGCTTTCAGAATTTTGTGTTTGGGGAGTTACTGGTAATTCTTGACTGCTTGTATTATCTAATTTCTTGGTGTATGGGTGTAAGCGACACGGCGCTCTTGCATCGGCTCTGCAGGGGGTTTAGGGGCACCTGAAGTCGCCAGAACTTCCAGAAGCAGAACATTTCGCGCACAGCTAGCACCTTGATTCTAAAGCCACCGCGGAAGAGCAGTCGGCTTTTTGCCATCTCCTGCCTTGGAAGAAGCTTCTCAGCTTCAGACTTCAGACGGGATAGAACAGCAGAGGGCTCGGCCCCCTGAGGCTCTGAGCCCCAGAAGCACCACCGGGACATTAACTTTCCGGGCCCTGCCGCGCAGGTGACGGCGCAGGCACAAAATTCCAACGTAGGGGTCTACGAAAATGAGGACCCCGAATAGAGACCCCCCAAAGAGTAGGATTCCCTTATAATCAGGACGCGATGAAGGTATCCCGAATTTCGGAAAGCCCCATGTCAGTCAAAGAGCTGTGGCAGAGTGTGGGTGCTTCTGTCGTAGTCTTGAGTTTCTTGAATCTGCACATTGGTACGACAGTACCATCTGGTTGACCGCTGAGATGCGTGGAAGATGCACTTTGTGGGCTTCCTGCACGCTTTCCCACAGACACGCAGACTTGGCGTTCCTCATTCGCGCCCTACCAATCACCACCCGATTTTTTCTTCTTCGTGTAGCCCTTGGTGTTCAAGAAACGAAAAGAAAGAGTGCATCGAGGCTGCAGCGGCATTTTTTGGAGATTCATGAGAATGAGAATGATAAGGCATTCCACGAACAAAGGCTTCAAGCCCGAAGGTCTGAACCCAAAAATAACAAAACATCTTTTGGCCCAACCGCAGGTCGCCCTCACGCAGCTCCAGGCAAACAACGGGCCGCCGCAGCCCAAGAATCCTGGGTGTAGGGTTAAGTGTGCCCTGAACCCTGCAAGCAGGACCCCACCCCTAAACCTTAAACCCTAAACCCTAAACCCTAAAACCACCGAGGCTGGCCTACGTCCCCGGCTCCCACCGCATGCTCACTCCCGGCTTTGAAGTGGTTGCCGCGCCTCCGCTTGGGTCGGCGACGTGGCGCAGAAGTGCTGTAACTTTCCACAAAGCTCCACCCAAAACGAGAGGCCCAAATCTCGCCGCCCTATAAGGTCCTACAGCGACCAGACACGTTGAGCATCATTGAGCCTTCACAAGCCCTCCCCAAACCCGAGCTCTGGGACTTTGGCAACCCTGAGCTCGCCGCAACAGCACTTTCGGCAAGGTCGTGCTGTACGATTCTTTCTGTGAGCATCGTGGCATCGAACATCACGGCAACAAAGACCGGCCACTTGCCCGAGATCATGGCCCAGGGACCCGAAGCCTGAACCCCTCCCAAACCCCAAGGACCTTAACCCTGAACAACCTAAACAACATCCCCACACCGAAGATCCTAAGCCCCTAATTAAGCCCCTGTCTTGAACCCTTAGGCCCTAAACCCAAGCCTTTCAAGGTATGCCGTGTACTACGAGTTCGAGACCCGGGGGGTCTTCAGCGGCTACACCGCGGCGCACTTCGGCCCGGAGTCGGAGGCTCACATGCGCGCGGCCGCCTCAGGGTTTAGAGCTTGAGGGGGCACAAGGGGTTTTAGGGGCTGTTAGAGGGGCTGTTCGAGGGGCTGTTCGAGGGGCTTTTAGGGTTTTCTTTGGGAGCTTTTTAGGGCTGATGCATGCCTTGCTCTCCGGCCTCTGACTCTGGCGGGCAACGTAACCCACGGCATCTTGCCAAAATAGACATGACGAGCACCCTTCGCGCAGTAGTAGTAGGGGTGTGATTGCCATGATGACTACGACGACGACTCCTACTACCATTGCCTCTGCTACTGGGCCATCCTTCCAGGCCTTCCGAGACTTCGTGGACCCAGCACTCCGTGACTGGGTGCAGCGAGTCCGTGCTTAGGTACCCAAGCTTAGGGAGGCTTGCTACTCGGCTACTTGTTGCTTTCACGTAGTGGTGGGTCTACTAGTTGAGATATTGGGCATGGAATGTTACAAGCCCACGGGTCCACAAGTGCATAAGTAGCAAGCCCAGTCGACTTCTGTTCCGCGGGGGCCATGCGTGAACAAATCAGTCAGATGGCGTGACCCCGCCACGGCATCTATGCGGTCAGTCGCCGCACGTTTCAGCTCAGGAGGAACAAAAGACCACTTGCATGTGGTTGCCAGAATCAGTCAATTCATCACGCCTGTCAAGCTGCTCGTTCCGTGTCAAGCAGTTCTGGTACATGAATCATCATTTCAGTCCATGCATGCATACGAAGTGCAGCTGCAGCGACCATAATTGGGGCCCCATCTGCAGAGGGGTTTATGGGCGCCAGGAGATCCGGGGCAGCACCAAGTCTTCCCTGGCGCTGCTCTTCCGGGGCTCCGAGGCGCACTTCACATCAATTGGGTCCCAACCGTGCGACGAAAGATGGTTGCAACGACTGCGCGCACCAGTGACAGCGAGATCAGCACAAGCTGAGACGTCTGCGAGGTCGCTGCAAGTGTTCATCGCTGTTGCAGGAGAACAACCGACTCCTCATCGAGCACAGCTTCGCTGTGTGGGCCGACAAGGTCTTGCGTGGATGCGTGTCATATGGAGCCAATCCTAAATACCACAATGCACTTCACCCCCCCCAAATCCAGACTCTGCACTTACATTTCGAGATGGGGGCAGGCGCGCTCGCGGCGGAGTCGCCTGTCCAAGATCAATGCAGCCGCCGGGATGCACAAGTTCCTGGAGGAACAGGAGATCAAAGCCCTCAACTGCCCCACCCCTTCAAGCCTTCCTCCCCGGGAACGTGAAACATTTGAGAACCCTGAGCTGCCATCCCAACCACTGCCAACCCCCCAAGCTCCCAAAGTAGCCCCGCGCATGCCCTGCCCAGAATCTCCCGGGTGAGCTATCACTCTGCAACAGGGTTTGGGTTTAGGGTTTAGGGTTAAGGGTTTAGGGGTTAGGGTGCAAAAGTTTTTCGTTGACAAGGCCCTGAAGACTCCCCCCGAATGCCAAGCAGGTCGTGGCCATCCTCAGTGGGGACGAGCGCATCCTCCTCCGCACGGCCTTTGCCGTTGGGGACTCGCCTTTTGCAGTGTGCGGGCGCTGGCCGCCAGCTTTAGGGTTCGGGTGTCAGTGCTTCGCCCTTTACTAATCAAAAAAACACGAAAGCGTTCCGGGTCGAGGCTGGAAGCAACTTGGGTAGGAGAGGTCTTTTCCCAATTCGTCCTATCCAGAGGTCGTTCCGCTGCCAGACAGCAGCGTAGCGACGTAGCGCCTGAAAGGGGTGGCAAATGAGAAGGCTCAGCGGGAATACTGCGAAGTCTCGTACGCAAGTACATATATACATATATACATAAATATCTATATGTACGTATATATATATATATATGAGGCAGGAACCTTTATGTATGATTTGACCTCTTTCTTTGTTTTCATACTAGCCTATACTACTGCTACGATTAACAGAGTTATCGAATAGGGCCATCACGCTCCTCTGAAGACTGCTTCAAAACCCCAACACTAAACCCTAACCCTAAACCTTAAGCCCGAAAAACAAGAAATATAATAAAACAAGAGCCTACCTACCTCCCTAGAGGCGAAACAGAGAGACTACACCGTGTGTTTCTTTCGCACTGAACCCCAAAGACCTACCCCTAAGCTCTAGGGGAGAGGACGCTGTGGGAACCTATTCTTGGGATAGGTTGTTTTTAAAAAGATTATGAAACATTCGGACACGGTATCACGAGAATACTGTGAGCAGATACTTCATTTTTTGAATTCATGCCCGTGCATGCGAGTTCATGCCCGTTCATGCCCCGTGCACGCGAACGCCCCGCAAAACGGAATAACAACGATATACCCTCCAACTAACCTATTGTTGGGACAGGTGCTCGAACGAACACACGGTGAATCTGAAAGGTCTGGGGTTCATGGTTGAACAATAAACCCTATAAGGCTTCAAGGTGTGGGGACTACAAACCTGAAACCCTATAGGGACCCGCCCCTTGTGGAGCATTTAGGGTTTCACGTGTAGGGTTAACGGTGAAGTGTCTAGGGTTTTCTTTTCAAGCTCATCTATGCGACTCGCGCGATTTCTGATGGGAGAGCGGGCGTGCAGCTTCGCACATTGGCACACTGTGGGTCGAAATGCAACGGCAGCAAAGAGGCCGCAAGCAAAAGGCAAGGCAACACGTTTCGGACAGGCAGGAGCAGTGTCAGAGACCAAATGGTTGGGTTGCAGGCCAGCCACTTGAATAGCCCAGCCAAAATGACTTAGTAGAGGGGCCCCGACTAAAGCAGGTAGAACATTAACTTTCAGCCTTTCGCAAAATCGCCACGTTCGTTGCAAGAAGGGACCTCCTCCCCTGCAGCGGCTGAGTTCACTTATACAATCTCTTTTGTTTTCTTTCTGTCCCTTGTTCCTATGTCTCCAATTTTGTCGATTGTAGGTATTCAAGGGAAGTGCTAAGCTACTAAAGAGGACAAATAAGGTTTCCCTGTCCCCTTTGGCTGTCCTGAATTAATCTTGTCTTTTCTCAGTCTGCACTCTGCGAGAGAGGACAGTAGAAGGGAAACAACAACGCATGGGCAAGAGTGCTTCTCTCTCTTTTCTTATTGAGATGACTGGGCACATAAGACTGAGAAGAGACTCCCCTGAATCTCTGCTTTGGCTCTTATCTTGCAGAGGAGAGGAACGTTTATATAAGAAGAGGAACCAGGAACAGACACCAGAGAGAAAGTGCAAGGAGCTGACAAGAGTGCTTCTCTCTTCTCTTTTTGACAAAAACCGAGGGAAAGAGAGTGAAAACAAGAAGCTTTGTTTTGTCCGTTGCAGAAAGGGGGCTCCCTCTCCCCGTGGAGCAGGGTTGATTTCCCGTGTTCGCTCCCGTTTGCCTTCTTTCTCTCCTACGCTCCTATGTCTTCTGTTCCTTTTTTTGAGGAGATTCAAAGGGATAGATAAACGAAAAAACCCCTGCGCTGTCCTTGATCTTGTCTTTTCTCAGTCAGCGAGAGAGGAAGACACAGTAGGAGGGAAGCTGGACAAGAGTGCTCCTCTCTCTCTTTTCTTATTGAGAAGACTGGGTACATAAGACTGGGAAGAGACTCCCCCTCCTCTCCGATTCTCCGCTCTGGTTGTTTTCTTGCAGGGGAGAAGAACTTTTATACAAGAAGAAGGGGCCAGGAACAGACAAGAGAACGAAAAGTGCATGGAACTGACAAGAGTGCTAAGAGAAAGGGAAGAAAGCTTTGTTTTGTCCGTTGCAGAAGGAGGCTCCCTCTTCCCTGGAGCAGGGTTGATTTCCCGTGTTCGCTCTCATTTGCCTGCGATCCTATGTTTTCTGTTCCTTTTTTAGGGATAGATTGGTTTCCCTGTCCCTTTGATGTCCTTGATCTTGTCTTTTCTCAGTCAGCCAGAGAGGAAGGCACAGTACTGGACAAGAGTGCATCTCTCTCTGTTTTCTTGAGAAACAACGGATAAATAAGCGGAAAAGAAGAAACCCCCTCTCCTCTCCTCTAGATCTGTTCAGCTCTGATCCTGGGAAGTAAAAACATGAACACGCAAGGAAACATCTCATCCTTCTCTCTTCTCTCTTCTCTCTTCTCTCTTCTCTCTTCTCTCTTCTCTCTTCCCTCTTCTCTCTTCCCTCTTCCTCTCCTCTTCTCTCTTCTCTCTTCTCTCTTCTCTCTTCTCTCTTCTCTCTTCTCTCTTCTCTCTTCTCTCTTCTCTCTTCTCTCTTCTCTCTTCTCTCTTCTCGCTTCTCGCTTCTCTCTTCTTCTCTCTTTTCTCGTCTCTCGTCTCTCGTCTCTCTTCTCTTCTTCTCTCTTCTTCTCTCTTCTTCTCTCTTCTTCTCTCTTCTCTCTGCTTCTCTGCTTCTCTCTTCTCTCTTCTTCTCTCTTCTCTCTTCTCTCTTCTCTCTTCTCTCTTCTCTCTTCTCTCTTCTCTCTTCTCTCTTCTCTCTTCGCTCTTCTCTCTTCTCTCTTCTCTCTTCTCTCTTCGCTCTTCTCTCTTCTCTCTTCTCTCTTCTCTCTTCTCTCTTCTCTCTTCTCTCTTCTCTCTTCTCTCTTCTCTCTTCTCTCTTCTCTCTTCTCTCTTCTCTCTTCTCTCTTCTCTCTTCTCTCTTCTCTCTTCTCTCTTCTCTTCTCTCTTCTCTCTTCTCTCTTCTCTTCTCTCTTCTCTCTTCTCTCTTCTCTCTTCTCTTCTCTCTTCTCTCTTCTCTCTTCTCTCTTCTCTCTCCTCGCTCCTCGCTCCTCGCTCCTCGCTCCTCTCTCCTCTCTCCTCTCCCCTCTCCCCTCTCTCTCCCTAGAGCAGGCTTGAGTCCAATTATTCTCCCACTGCTGCCTTCTTTCTCGTGCTCCGACGTCATGTGTTCCGTCTTCTATTCGAGCAGATTGAAGGGAATAGGTCGACAAAAGGTTTTCACACTCCCTCTCACTTCTTCAGCCTCTTCTTTGCCGTGTTCTTACAACGGAGAAGAGTAAAACGTAAGAAGATGAGGAGTCAATCTCGCTACCTTCATGCCTTGTCGTCTTTCTTTTGTTCACTTTGCTCTTACACACGCGAAAACTGAAAATGCAAGAAGATAAACTGACGAGAAGGCAGGGAAGGAGACAGTCTTTGGCTCGCTGCCAAAATGAGAGAGCGACGCAACAAGGACATGACAAGAGTGCTTCGCTGTTCTCTTTTTGTGAGGATCGGGCAAACAACAGGGGGAAGAAATTCCTTCTCCCTCTTCTCCCTGTTCTTTGGCTCTCTCCTTACACAAAGACAAATAAAAACACAAGGCAACAAATTTCAGTCACTACGTTCATCCGTCCTCGGGTTTCTTTTCCCCTGCTGTCGCTCTCTCCTTACAGAAAGACATTCACATATACAAGGCAAACCAAAACCACTCACTACTTTCATTCTCCGTCCTCTTTAGTTTCCCTCTTTGTTCACTCTGTTCTTACAGGGAGGAACTGAACATGCAAGAGCACACCCCGATCTCGATACCATCATCCTCTCCCCCTCTCCCCCTCTCCCCCTCTCTCTCTCTCTCTCTCCCTCTCTCTCTCTCTCTCTCTCTCTCTCTCTCTCTCTCTTCCTTGTTCTTTCTTTTCACAAGACAAATGAATGAACAGAAGACATGGACAAGAGAAGCAAATGGACGAGAAAAGACGGAAGGATGCATCGTTTTGTTGGTGGCAAGAAGGGAGGCTCCCTCAGGGCAGGGCTGAATTCCATTGCACTCTTCTTTTTGCCTTCCTTCTCTCTTGTGTTTCCTATGTCTTCTGTTCTTTTGCGTTTAGGAAATTCAAGGGAACTGCTAAAAAAGGAGGAAGGAGTTTTTCTTGTCTCTTTTCGTTGCCCTTGCTCTTTTCTTTTCTCATTCAGCGAGAGAGGAAGAGACTGTAGGAGGAAAACAACAAAGAATGGACAAGAGCGCTTCTCTCTTATCTTGTTGAGAACAATGGATACGCTATCTTCTTGAAAAGGAGAAGCGGAACACAACGCACACATCGAAGACAAAAGAATACACGATGAGAAGAAGGGGGCGTTGCGTAGACAGACAAGACAATTCTGTTTTCATTGCTTTTCCATCGCTCTCTTCTCTCTTCAATTCTACCCCTGCCCTCTTCCTATTCCTTCTATGTTTTTACTCGTCTCAGAAAGGAATGGAAGGGCGGGCACTTTCCTTTTCTTTCGGTCTCGCTACAGGCAAAAGAGGAGAATGGAGATGAAATGGAATGAGACAAGCTTCGGTAAGGACCCCTCGCCTCCTCTTCCCTGCATTTTCTTGTACCTTTTCCCATTGAGGCTCATTCACTACTTTCAGCATCCCTCCTCTTTAGTTTCCCTCTTTGTTCAGTTTGTTCTTACAGTGGGGGAACTGAACATGCAAGACACACACACAAATCTCGCTCCCTTCTCTCTTCTCTTCTCTTCAAGTCGCTTCGCTACTCTTCTCTTCTCTTCTCTTCTTCTCCTCTTCTCTTCTTCTCCTCTTCTCTTCTTCTCCTCTTCTCTTCTTCTCCTCTCTCCTCTCTCCTCTCTCTCTCTCTCTCTGTCTGTCTGTCTCTGTCTGGCTTCTTTGTTCTTTTCTTAAACCCGTGACAACTGGATACACAAGAGGACAAGGAAAAGAGAAGCTAACGGGCGGGAAAGAAGGAAGG